AAAAAAAAAAAAAAAAAAAAAAAAAAAAAAAAAAAAAAAAAAAAAGAACAAGAATAATAAACAAATAGGCAATAAAAAAAGTGGCTCAAGTGGATAATGTTGGGGAGAGCTCATGGAATGTTTCAATTTCTTGCTTTTCCTGTCTATTCTATTTCGAGTAGTTCCCAGTCCGTCGTCACCTGTTGGATTGATCAGCCGTTCAGCAGCAGCCCACCTGCCCTGGTATGAATCAGGACAATCTCGATTTTTTTGGTCTTTGTCTTTCTTTTTTTATCCGTTCAAGGAATGAACGGGTAAGACAAGTCTAGGAAAAAAACAGTCGTCTAAAGTACTCCGTCAAAAAAAAGTCCTCCAATTCAGGTGGTTCATGTGGTACAATGACCTGCCTGCCTCCAGCCAAAAATCACTCACGCTGATCGGGGGCGCCCGCCCGTGGCCGTGACCATACGGTATTACGCAGGCATCGGCCTACAATGGACCGGTCTAGGGCCTGCGGGTGGGGAGATGATGTCATTGGGGATGACCGTACCGTACGGGTGATTGGCAGAGGGGCCGGGGAACTGCCACCCGGCTTGGAGTCCGGTACTGTAAGGCCTGGCCGTATGATATGACGGTGACACGGCCTTATCTTTGGTCCCCCTCCACGCCCACTCAGCCAATTTGCCGACCCGGGTCTAGCGCCGTCAGGAGCCCAAATCAGTTGATAGCGATGCCCGTCCATCTTACAAATAGGAATGTGCCTGGCGTCGAGCCGGTTATCAGAAGGCAGATTGTTCCTGAGACGCTGGTCTTCGCACTACTACCATCGTGACTGCCTTTTTGACGAGCTGCCTTTGAGAATGACTTTTTGCCGTTGTCCGCAGCGCCCTCCTGCGGGTTCCGTCGCTATTGGCCGGCCTTTGTCTGGCATGATGACCCTGGAGGATCTCCGACAATAAAACGGCCTTTATTCTCCATGCGATGGCAAAGTAAAGGTTCCCTGGTCACTGGCAACGCGTCAACCTCCGAGTTGTTGCTTGACGGACGAGCCATGTCAACCTGAGTTGCATGAGTGATCAATCACTGCTGACTTGGCTCTCACAGCTCACTCAGCGACCGGCTCCGGTGTCGCATTAACTTGATCCTTCGAATACATTCGAGAGATTCCGGTCCATGACAGCTGGAAGGTGGAATCAGGTTGTCAACGATTCGGATCGAGAGGAACGACCACTCGATGGCTGGCAGGTACCTTGCTGCGACTGTGGCTATGGACAAACATACGTCGAGTTGATGGGTCGAACAGCTTCGTTCTCCCGGTTTCTTCGCATGCAGGTGGCGAGCAGATGAATTGGAGGTTACACTGGATAAGAAACAGTTTCTCCCATCCATGACCAGAACGAGCAGGCAAGACAGTATAGACACATTTGGGTATTCTTTTAGCAATCGATCGCATAAGGAGAGTGTCTCAGAGCCACTCTGTCGGTATGGTGTAGGTTTAATACTGAAAATCACAGCCATAGGAATCCAAAGAACGTGGCCGACGTGTCCGAGACATACACATGTACTGCATCGTATGTAGTCGGGAGTAGATCCGACCGATTTCTAGACGTGCAAATGGCGATACTTTCTACAGTAACGTTACCACGAGCGTTGGTCAGGTACGGGATGACGAACGGCTAGTAAAGTAAGGTAAGCATCAAGCCAGGATCGGCCTGTCGATCGGACTGAGGATTTCCAGTGATTCGATCCGACTGGCCAGTGTCGCATTAGTACTGCTTCCAGCATCTGCACCAGGCAATGCGACGGTACAATGGCTTTGCACAGGTGCTTCCTTGCAGTCCTTGAGATCATGGAAGATCATAAGGATCGTTGAACCTCCATCAAGACTACCAAAGTCCTCTCCGTGGGGGTTCGGGAGGATGGCGAGCAAAGTCTACACCGTAAGTCCCGAACCTGAAGATAAGCTCCAGTAATTCTCCGGACGCGAAGAGCTTAATCCAATGATATACTAAATTCTTCCAGAGAACATACATACTGTATAGAATGGTCAACTCTACCAGCACCCTTCACAGTTTACCTCATGCTCAGCATCGTGAATTATTTCTTCATCTCAAAGATGGCTCTATACTTCAGTCAGGAACCGCATCTCCGATTGGCCGCGGTGGCGGTGGGTACACACCAATGGAGTCCCCTCGGAGGGCCTCTCCCGATCTATAGAGCCACCTCAAAATTCCGTTTCGTTCCCAACCCACCACAGATTAAACCGGGGGAGGGAAAAATTCAGACAAGAGAGACAACAAGATGCTTCACGCACGCCTTCGCCCTCTTCCTCGTCGTCACCCCTTCCCCCTCTCCTCTTCTCCCTCTGCTCCGCGCCCTGACTTTGTCGACCCTGAGGGAGACGCTGACCCGGATGAAGATTCCGAGGACCTCTTCGCCGCTTTTCTTCCGCACCTCTTCCCCGACGATGCCCCCTCGTTCCACGGAGACCCTGGCCAACATCTCCTCTACTCATCTCCGCGCTATGGCGACCTCGAAATCATGGTTCCTTCGTACCCGGATCAGAGTGAGCGCCGCTCTGATAACCCGGTGAACCAGGTTGAAGAGGGGCGGAAGCTCTTCGCTCATTTCCTTTGGAGTGCGGGCATGGTTGTTGCAGAGGGAGTGGAGAAGGCAGACATGTTGGAATCGAGTGGTCAACTGAGTGGAACGGATGACGTTGCCATGTGGAGGGTGAAGGGAGAGAACGTGTTGGAATTAGGCGCTGGTAATCCCCTTCATCACTTTCCACTTATTCCCCCGAAGAGAAGTTGAACAGAACGAATGACGATATCTCCAGGCGCCGGATTACCATCCGTCATTTGTGCACTTGCCCAAGCATCTACCGTCACTATCACCGACCACCCCTCCTCTCCAGCCTTGTCCGGGGCGATCGGATTCAACATGACGCACAATCTACGGGCCTCGAAGATCCCATCCCCTACGAACGTAGCCATCCAGCCCCACGAATGGGGTATCTTGGAGACCGACCCCTGGGCAGTCCAGCACAAGGGCAGTTTCACTCGGATCGTCGCGGCAGACTGTTACTGGATGCGGTCGCAGCATGAGAACCTGGCGCGCACGATGCGCTGGTTCCTGGCCCCTGAAGGACGGGTCTGGGTGGTGGCTTCGTTCCATACCGGGCGGGCCATCGTGGCGGGCTTTTTCGAGACGGCGTTGCAGATGGGACTGGCGATTGAGCGGATCTACGAGCGGGATTTGAGCTCGGCCCGGGAGGACGGAAGCGAGGTGCGTCGTGAATGGATGCCGGAGCGAGAGGGAGAGGGACCGGAGAATCGGAAACGGTGGTGTGTGGTTGCGCTATTGAAGAGGGGTGAAGAAGCCGTCTAGGAGGTCTGGGGATATCTATCGTGTTGATGATTAGCATAGCATTATAGACAGCGATTAAAGACCAAGAAGCAATCATCATACTACTACAACTACTAGTATCTCATAATCTGATATACTGTTTATGTCGTCTATTCCTTGCTTTATAAACACCTTACCAAGAATCCCCATACATACCCTCTAACAGTATATCCAACCCAACCGAGTGATAGGCTGCCTAAAACGCCACCTGCACGCCCAACCAACCAAATCCAACCCATCTATTTGATATATTCGATTCTAAATGCGTCCAAACATCAAGCTTCCTCTTTCTTCCCCTCTACCCTTTGGAAACACACCGTACACACTCCCTGTCCTTCTCTCCCCCCAAACCGGAACCGAGGATACTCAACCCGACCCCAAACTACCAATCGATCCTCTTGCCCTTCACCACCACTACCAGTAGTACCAGTAGAAGAAGTAAACCAATGCACCAACTCCTCCTCGGTCCAATTACAACTCGTAACCACCACAAACCCCCCCTTTCGCACCAACCCCCTCACAATCCCAGGGTACCGTTCACACACGCGCCGCTGGATCTTCCTCCCCGACGCGGACGCAGCCGTATCATCCCCATCCCCTTCCACAACCACCTCATCCGACAACGACACCGCATCAAACGTCCCCTTATCCAAAACAATATCAAACCCGCCTTTGTCATACGGGAACCAATCCAATGTTCCCTTTTCGTTCTCGGTGTTGTTTTCCCCATGGTGTAGGATATCCCATTCTTCGAAGCGGATGTTGGTATCTTTATCCTTGCCCTCATCCTCACCCTCAGCATCGGAATCAGAATCATCAGAATCAGACAAATAAGCCGAATGAATCCTCAACCTCTGCAACTCCCTCGCCAACTCCACACTCCGAATCGAATAATCCACCCCCACCATCTCACCCCTAAATCCGCCCCGTTTGCGAAGTAGCGCTAACATGCTTCCGTTGCCGGTTCCCAAGTCCAGAATACTCGGTTGACCACTACCACCACCGCCTTCTTTATCTTCCCCAGAGGAGGGTGAGGAAGAGGAAGCAGGTATAGTATTCACAGGCGCAAGGGGAAACTCCTCATCCGTCAAAAACTGCAGCACTTTATCCGGGGCATTATGTTCCGAGAACCAGGAGGTACCGGGGTCCGAATCGTCGTCAATATCATCGTCGTCGGAGTCGGCGTCAGAGTTTTCGTCGTCTTTGGGAGGGGGTTTGGTGGTTGTGGTGGAGGGGTTGTGTTTCGTGGAGAGGTGGGTGAGGGTTCGGGCGTAGAATGTTTCCCAGCTGTTGTATTTTCATAGTTTGTATTTCGTTAGTTTCATATTATTTTGTAGGTGGTTCGTCATGATTCTCTTCTTGTTCTTCTTGTCATCCACCTCTGGCTACAATGAGGGGCATCAAGCGGGGTAAGAAAACTTCATTTCAGTAAGAAGACTCACTAATCCTTCGTGCCCAGTTCGCTAGGCGACAGATGCGCCGGATGGCTCTCGTCGGCCATGGTTTCTAGGGGTTGAGTATCCTTGGTCCGGAGAGTCAAGGTTGGATGGCTTGCAGGAAGTGGTGGAAAGTTTTCGAGGTCCCCGAACTCCGATTTCCGGGTCCGCATGACGTTGGATCAAGGGAGCCGCACGTGGCGGATGCCTCGATTTACCCTATTTTGTGAACATCATCGGATTGACTTGGTCCCAATCTTGGGCTGTAAATCTAAGATATATGGAGAATGTAATATAAGTTGGTATCTAATCACATACGGTATAGTTACGGCATTGCAGTAATCACTCTTATTGAATCAACTAGCCCAGGGTATTTCGCAGCTGAAATGCTTGAGAAATGACAGAAAGAGTGGACGCACACGGGCACCCCCGTGCACTCAAAACAATAATATTACAAGTTACCAGGCACGAGTCATCGCCGCCTTTATCATTTTCTTAACACCCAGGACGCCGGTTGACCAGAAAGCATGCAATGTCGGATGCAACATGGACCGCTGGTTGACCAAGGGAAGGAATTGCACAGGGGCAACATGTATGAATGAATGGAATAACGACCGTAAGCCCGCTTTGGTCATCAAGTCATCAACGAACGAATGGTAGAAGATCACCACAGTGAAAGGAAAGGAAAGAAGGTAAGAGTAGATCGAGGAGATCACGAAAAAGGCCGAAGAGATCGGACGAGGTCGATGCAAGTCAACCTCAAGGTGGTGTATAAGTCATGGAATCATTTCTCGGACGTGCAAGCCCGTCCTGAAGACACATCGTCTTAGACAGGGCAGAATTACAGAAACTCATCAATATTTCTCATAATCAGGCGCTCATTCCCTGGAGGCGGTGACCGAGGGTCGGCGACTCGTGTTCCGAATCGCAGCCCATGAGGGCCATCGTCCTCCAGGCAATCGGCGATTGACTGCGAAAGAGGCGCGGCCATGAAACCAGTCGTCCTCGGTGAGAAAAGGGAGTTGCCCCCCTGGGAAGCATCCGGCACGAAAAAATCCGTTTTGGCCAGAGAGTATGGCCCGCCTTCGGGGCGCCATAACGGGGCTGTGGATTCGGGCAGCAGAGTCCGGCCCGTTGACCCCATCTGGTACGAGGCCTGCCGAAATGGCAGAGGTCGTGGAGACAGGCTGCGCTTGTGGGACAGCGTTTGGGAAAATCCGAGATTCTCGATCGAGATGGGTGTGGTCTGGTTCGTGGAAGGCGGTGAAAGCGAGCCCATAGATCCCTGCGACAGGTCATTGGATGAGCATTGCTCAGCATCTGAGCAGCCACTCGTGTAACCCGGAATGCTGACTTCCGAAGCATCCGTTCTCCCGGTGTGTGGTGGCTGAGGTTCGGAGCTTCTGCGCGGCCCCCCAACAAACCACTCCTCCGGGGCAGCTTTCGAAAGGCTGCCGCGGAGTAGTCGAGAGCGGAAGTCCGTCAGTTGGTAAATCAGGCTCATGTTGGGGCTCACCCAGCGACTGCGCTCCTTGACCATCTCGTAGACCGAGTTGAAATCCAGTTGTCGGTTTTTGTAGAGACCGTACGCGATAACCAACGAGGCCGACCGACTAGCGCCGAGTTGGCAATGCACAAGGACCTTCTTCCCTTCGGCGATCCGGGACTCGATCAGCGCGCAAAGCGGGAAGAGATCATCTAGGATTTCCGAGTTATGGTCCCAGCCGACATGGACATATTCCGGTCCAGACGAATCCTTTTGAGGGGTGGCAGGCGAAGACTCATCACTGGGCGGGTATTCAAATGCAGACTTGAAGGATACATCAGACATAGCCGTCCAGGGCTCTCCAGTGGACAGTCGGTTCGCACTTGCCGACCCATTGCGCATAGTGCTCACCACCGTGCTAGTACCGCCGCTCGTGTTGGTGAACGGATTCGCCACCTCCTTTGCCACGTTCACAACGACGTCGAACCGGGAGGCTTCTTGCGCGGTCGGCTCCAGGTAAAGAAAAACACCGGAGTCGTAGATTTGGATTGGGCCGTTCGGGTATCCGCGTTCGTTGCGCCGCGTCGACTCCCGCGAGTCTAGATGGTCGTCTTCTTCTTCCAACTCGTGTAGCACTCCCCCGGAAGCGGACCCTTCATCTGGCACAGTTTGCAGTGGCGAGAGATTGCTCTCCGAGGCACCAGACGGTCGGCGCGCGCCATGATGGGTCATCGGTCGGGGGAGTTGCATGCCCCCCTTCGGGCCAAATGATGGGGAGAAAACGGATGTGAGGGAAGGGGAGGATTCGGTGTGGCGCAAGGCGTGCGGAGTGGGCGGAACCATCTCGTTCATGTTGCTAGAAAACGACCGATCGAATCCGGGAGTGCGTATCGTCAGGTTCGCGGGTTTTCGGCGCATGCCCTTCGGGGGCACGTGGATCGGCGAAGGTGGGGCGGAGAGATGGTGTTGAGAACTGGATTCGACAACGGATGCGGTTGCGATGGGCGGGCGTGAACCTTGGGATGGTAGAGGCATCCTCAGGGAGAGGTTCTTGAGGTTTCTCGCACGTCGGCCGGGTGAGTCGGGTCGTGCGACATTCGGGGTATCCGTTGATGGGTTGGAGATGGCGGCCGGAGCCGCAGACTGCGGTGGGCACTCGGGCTTGTGTGCAAGCGGCATGAAGGTGGGATATGATAATGGCATCGACGACGGAGATTCGGGCGAGGAGCTCGGGGACGTATCCACGGCCGACGGAGGATCGAACGTGGAGATGGTGGTGGTCGGCGATGAATCAGTGGAGGCTGATGTCATCGACGATATACTTTCACGGTGCTTAAAGGGCAGTGGGCGTCGCGATGTATTGACGGTGACATTGGTCGGAACCCTAAGAGGTTTGATGATTGAAGTTCGCTCCTCCTTGTCGGAAAATTCGGGTGACCTCCCAAATACAGACATAAAGGAAGGGAACGAGTCCGGGATTGTCGGTGAGCTGGTTTGAACAGGCATCATGAAGCCTGGGGATGATGAGGTACACCTGCGTTTGAAAGGGGACACCCTCTCAGAATCGCAGCTGTTGTAGATGGCTGGCGCAAAAAGGGTAGCACAACTAGTAGTAGTGCAGCCAGACCGGGGAAGACAAGACAGTGTCGCACTTGCTACCAGCGCAAATGACCTTTTGGACAGAGGACAATCAGCTTCCATGTTTCAGCTTATGTTGACCTTCGACGGTAGAAGCAAGCACGGCTGCAAGGAGGGTGAAACCAGAATGACGATCGGCCAGTTTGAGAAATGAAACCAACAGAGAGGCTATTGGCGTCTGGGTGAGAGAACCAGAGGAGAGAAGAGGAGGATGAACAAGGCGAGGCGAAAGCAATTCACAGAGGAATCCCAACAAGGTCCTGGACCGGGAACATACCAAGGAATGCCGCAAGAGAACTGTTGCCTCTTTGGAGATCTGTCAGTGATGCGGAGGCGAAGGATTGTTATTGATAAACCTCAACGGGGAGCAACCACGGCGACATGGGTAGGCAACGGAAGCGAAAAATCGAAAGCAAAATCAAAGTAAAAATCAAGGAGAGAATGTCAAGGACGAGAGAGAGATAAGCTAAGAACCAGGGTGCCCGAATTGTTGGAGGGAGGGCACAATGCGACTGGGAGGAATAGCCGCCCGGTGATTGTGTGGGCAGTCGTTCCTCCGGGGAATGACGAAAGAAGCAGTGGTGGGAGAGAGTCTCGGTCACAGGGAAGAAGAGTGATGGGTGCAAAGAACGACTGCCCACCCACCCAGGAAAGAAACTGGTAGGTCGATTGGTAGGTCCCTGTGATGAGGGGAAGGGGGAGGGGGTGGTCGAAAAAAAAAAGAAAAAGGAAAGAAAAAAGAACTAGAAGAGGGGAGGGGGGGAAAAAGGGAAAGAGAACTCTTAGAGAAGGGAACGCGAGAGAGCGAGCGAGCGAGTGAGCGAGAGAGAGATTGGTAGAGGTACGAGGTAGGGTACCCAGGTCGGGTCCACGGTCGCGGCGGTTCCCCCAAAGCCAGCGCCCGTCTTAGATGGCAGCAGGCACGCTGACTGGCACAGTTACTGGTGACCGGGTGAAGCAGCAGCAACCGCAGCAGTCGCAGGACTAGCGGCGGCAGTCACAGCAACGGCAGCAAATAATAATCGGCTGGAGCAGCTAAGAATAACCACCGGACGTGACTGCCAGACTGCAACAGCAGTAGTTCGTTTGGAACGGGAAGGGAAAGGGCGGAGGCCCTGATTGGGACCGGCCGGCCGCGTTGCTGTCAAGCAGCCAACCAGCGCCCTTGACGCCGAGGGGTGGAGCCCGACAGCCCCGGTCTCCCAGATGCACTGGGCCAATCAGCACCGCCAGCAGCAGAACATCCAGCGCCTGCAGCTCTAAATTTAGCCGCCCGGGTTGGTGTGGAAGGCTGGAATGTGCATCATGGGCGCCAAAAGCACGCAAATCAGATGCCAGATTCATCCCAACACTGGCATGTCAGTCCCCATCCCAGGATTCTCCTCCATGCTTTCCTCCCTCCCCAACTGGACTGGGGGCAAGCAACCAGTCAAGGTGGCCCCCATCGCCCGGGGGATGAAGGGAACGGAAGGAATTGGACGGGAAACTGGGAAGTGATGATCCAGTGGGTAAGGTTCTGATACGACGACAACAGGGGTGCAGGAATCATATGGTAATCAAGAAGCCGCCCAGATCCCAAGGGAAGCAAAGGCATCGGGGTGGCTCTCAATCCCTTCAGATGTTCTGCTGCATCTCTCTTTCTCTCACACTCGCTCACACACTCTTTCTCATATCCCATTCTCACTGCTCTGGTTTGCCCTTCCCTTTCGAGGTCTTCCATTTCGGGTCCCTCTCAGTAGGAGTCAGGTGCAGGGAGGAAAAAAGAAAAAAAATGAAAAATGAAAAGTGAAAAAAAGGTCCCCACAAGCGGGTGCCACTGGGAAGTTGGTCCAGGAACAAACCAACAGAGGCAGTGAAGCACGATGGGGAACTAGTAGTGCCCGAGGGACCCAGAGATGACATAAAAGCCAGAAGAAAAGGAAAGCAACGACGTAATCGGAACGACATGCAAAATAATGACAGAGTCATATACATACCTGTAAAGCTCTTCCTCTTGCTTGAGGAGACCCCTTCCAGCTGCGACAAGACCGAAAGTGCTAAACCACTGCGGAACAGACTCCAGGAAGGAATTTTTATCCACACACCGCGACAGTTGCACCAGCAGCCAGCAATTGCAGAGCACGCAGCGATTCAGCTCTGGGCGTACAACAAGAGAGAGTGTGGACAGTATGCCAGTAAAGAAAGAGTATAGAAGACAAGAAAGGTTTAAGAAGACTTCCAGAAGTCACAGAAGAAAAAGAACTGTCTGCTTAACCCACGAGGAGGTTAATAATAATCAGACAGACCCGGCAGGATACGTATCCAAGCAACCTTCTGCACACAAAAACAATACTGTATTGGGGGGGGGGTGTCCGACCCGCTTGTGTGTGCACGGTTCCCGCAGAAGGGTCGTTTGCTGGATGCTTAATCAAAGGGTTTTGGTCAAGCCGGCTTGAGAGAAAACAACGACGAAAGCACGGGCAACCCCCTCCAAAAAAACAAGACGAGAAAGGACTGCAAAGAATCAGAAGGAGAGTGATTTGAGGGGCATGAATCACTTTTTTACTAGATGCGGATGGCGATTCAGCAGGGACCTCACTCTGGCATCGGGCCTATTAGAAGAGGTAGCGGCACTGAGGGTCGCAGGCAAAGGTGAAACGCAAAGGCTGACTGACTGGGGCTAAGTTGGACCGATCCACCATCGCAGAACAAGCCCCTGGAAACGGTGGACCGTCCGTTATTGGCAGTGGGGACGAGAAACCGCGGCACGGTTGGTGCTTAGTACTCCGCAGCGCTCGAGAGTCAGGATTTGGTTCCTGGACGGGGGGTTGATTTGTGGATGTTTTCAGCACTCGGCAGGAAGAGGAAAGTCTGGGACGAGGTTTCGCCGCTCACCTCGCTGTTTCAACACACGCTCGACCAGCGAATTCCCGTATCAGCTATCAGGCCCTCACCCAAGGATGCAGCGCTGACCTCAAACCTCGCCATCGGCCAGGGCAGCTGAAACACACAGGCACAGAGGGCGCGCGCTAAGTCAAACCAATGGGATGGAGGTGGAGGGGTTCAGCCCGGGTTGAAACACGCCATCTCAATGGTAGGCCACTAGTCCGCCTCCGGATGGGGCGGCCAGTCACGTGGACCTCTTGTCGGCCGTCACCTGCCGCCGCGCCCATCAAGATTCAAAGACACCTCGCGGACCAGGGACGATCATGACGAGTTGACGTGATCGAATACGGCCCAATGACTAGGGTCTCCACGCTGGAGTTGGGACGTCAGCGGCCAAATGAGGTCAGTCACCGCGCCTGGGGTTCAAAACTTCAACGATATGCGCTGCATTGCGTCGTTAATTTGCAGGATCCTACCGGCACCTACTACGGCTGACCCAAGACGACTGGACCACGCGCTTACTGCTGCTCAAAAATAGAACCAGCAGTAGTGCGACCCTGTCAACTTGTCAAGCCGTCGAACCAACCCTCCCGAGTCAACCCCTCCGGTGCTCGATCTACGTACTCTAGCCAATGTCTATCCTATGGGCATGCTCCAATTATCCTCGCACCTGATGTCACGAATTAATAGCCCTTTGATAAAACTCGACCCTCCTGCGTCCGATCCCACGTGGCAGCAACGTCAATCTGAGACTATGGGGTCAGGGCTCTACTTTGGTTAGAGCTGTAGAACTTGGACCGCCCGTTCGGCCTCACGTCGGTGATTGCTGTGGGGTGGGTTTGATTAGGAGGTACGTGGGCGAATCCCCCCTTTAGCCACTCACTGTCGGTGTCCTTCCTATTGTTGATTAATCGATTGAGCACATAGGGATTGATTATTCTAGGCAGCATGATATTCGCCAAATAAAGTGGACTGAATCACCTGGAAGCTGGAGCTCCTTATGACCATGATCTGCTACCGATGACAGAACCAATACTAACCCAGCTAATATGAAACAGGTCCCTCAGATAGATTGTTTCGACATTGTAGCCTCATGACTTCCCCAGTGAATCATTTGGCGTTTTGACCCTAATCCTGTTGGACGACCTACCCCAACCAACAAGCTCTGTTCAGGTGCTTGCTCAACCAGGTGGTTGGAGACCCGGGTGTTGCTGTTTCGTGTTCACCTAGCAACGATCTCTTATACGGCAAGTGCCGAATGAGCCATGGATCCTGAGCACAACGTGAGACACAGAGCAGCGTTCCTTGCCGCTAGCAGTCTAGCACCGGTCTGCACGGGCTGTTCCGCTCCATTGCAGCATCGCCGCCGTCCTGTCACCGTCGGCTGATGCCATGATGCTTTGGGTCCTGGCGCCTGATAAAGCTTCACCGGCTATCGGTCCATCTTGATTCGAGATATGACACACAGGGGAGATACTCTAGCCTACGCGGGCTTAGGTGCAGATAAGGATTGGCACTCTACGGACTCGGTGTCGAATCGAGGCAGCGTCCGTGTGTGTAAGTCATACAGACTGGGTCTTCAAAGTCAAACGGGGTTCTGTGGTAGGCGAGCTGGTGATTCGTCTCGTAGCTTTCGTTAGCTCGGCCTTGAGATCCCCCTCCGACCAATTTTGTAGGCTTGTAGCACGGTCGCCGCCCCGATCGTAGATCCGAAGGATTCGGCCGCGGAAGTCTTTATCTGTTATCGCTCTTTGACATCTGGCCCCTTAGGCTAGAACGGGGTCTATGGAAGACCCCATGTCCATGTCCGATATAGGTGTACTATTCGGTACTATGTACATAAATGCGATTCATCTGATTTGGCTCGGGCCTTTTACATTGCTTCGGGTCGAGAACAACCGAGGTCGTATTGATCTGATCAAGCGGACAGCCAAGAGATCTTCCGTGTCTGGTGTCCAATGGCTATTGTGGTTTGAAGTGTGGTGATTAAGGGATATTCTTTCTCTTGTGTGAGAAATAGTACTCCGCACTGAAGACCATGCTATCAATCTTATGGTATCCGTTAAGAGCAGACTGATGACTATAATTCATACCATACCTCTTCCTTTGTAGGAAGATCAGTGTCCTGGAATTGAGATGGAGCAATTGCATAATCTTTTCGGATCCAATGGTTCTTTGTGTGTGGAAATCCAGTCGCTCTCCATCTCCTCTTCCGGTTCGCCTTTCGCTCTCTTTGGACTTTCCCCTTGCATTTGTGTGTGTGTGTGTCCAAGCGTTAATAGAAAGATTTACCGACCCAAACATTATGTAGTATTTTGTAGGAAGTCTGGTGGGATGGGGATGTTGACAGAATCGCAACCAAGGGTGGTTGCGAACGAACCGTGGTTCACTCCCCGGGGCCTGGATGTTTGTTTGGCTGGAGAAATTTTCACGGCAGGAAGAAGAATCACTTGTTCCAGAATAGCGTGGGATGATTTCCTGCCCTTTTTCAGGTACCGCGAGAAACCTTCCTTAGCGGGGAGAGAGCACAGGGAGGGAGAAAGGGAAGGGAAAGAAGCCCTTCCGTCCCACCAGTTGATATCCCGTATCCAAAAGCCTGAGACGAATCCAGGAGACGCAACCAGCCTCAATGCGACCGTCACGTCGGATCCAAAATAGATCCCAGATGATATCACAGATCCGTCTCTGAATATTCTCCGGCCTGTCGAGCGGGAGCCGGCCTGGAATCCCCCTCCATCCCGTCCACGATACTAGTAGTTAGAGTAGTTTTTAGTAGGTCCAGAATTGCCAGCCACCAACCAGCACTGTCCCCCCCTCGGTTGTTTTATGTTCGAAGTATCTCCTCCGTACTCCGCTCCGTACTTAGTAGGAGGAAGGTACGGAGTATCTACCTGGATCTCTGTCAATTTGCCCGGGCTGCTCTCCCGGAACCGAGCCTCCAGGCGAGCGAGTCAGTAGTTATTATTAGGGACGTCGATATTTTTTTTTCTTCATTTAATTTAGTACTCATAATAAAATGATCACCCCGTAGGTCCACCACAGTTAACAGATCAGATTATTCCCGTCCTTTTTCCTCCAATTTTCTTTTTTTTTTCTTTGTCCTTTGCGTTTGATGTTAATTTCCCCAACGTCAGTTGCCTCGGATCGCTTTGGCCGACGATAGATTTGATTGATCGAAGACCGGCCATGCGTGTGGATGCCTGACCAGGTTGAGCACTGTGCAGATGTCCCCCGACGCAACTGCTGCTGGCCATGCAGCCTCTCCTCCTTCTGCTGCTGCTCCTCCTCCCCCCTTCCCCTCCTCCTCCTCCTCCTCTTACTCCTCTTCCGACTTCCCAACCGACCAGCGTTTCACTCCGCGACGCCGGCGAAAAACCGAATCCGCGGTGAATCCGCCTTTCCATGTATCACTCGAGGATCCGTCGTCGTCCCTGTGTCGTCGTTCGATTGTGAATCGAGCCCGAACCCTCACCATCAGCGCTGGAGCGACTCCGGGGCCCAGCTTGACCGAATCTTCTACCCCACGAGCACGATCCGGGCCCGGGACTCCGCCGCGAGTTCGAGTGGTGACACCGAGCCATCGTAGTTCCGCCGGGGCCGCGACGATGCTGAGGGCGGACGATCCCCGTGACGCGGGCAGACCAGCCGCGCTAACAAACCCATCCGCCGGCTCGAGCGACTCCCCTTCGGCACCAACAACAATCACAACAATCCCCTCGCCCTCGCCCTCCTCTGCCTCCACCGTTGTTGCTGCCCAGCTCTCCTCCGCCTCCGCCATCCCGCCCGTCCCTCGCCTCCCCCAGAGTCGCTTCAGCTTCGAATATCAGTATCCCCTGCGCAAACGAGCCCTGACGTCGCACCTCAGCTCCTCCGTCCTGAACAGCGACGACACGCCCGCGGAGCCCGACCCGACCCCTACTCCCCAGCGCACTTTCTTGTATGACAGCCCCCGGCGGTCCGTTCCCAATTTCCATTTGTCCCACCTGCGCGATCAGACAGGCTTGGAGTCGCAACCTCCGTCCCCGCGCCGGGCCCTAGAAAAGGATAGCGACGCCGCGCTGCCCCTGGACGCCCACTCGACCGCCCGCGTGTTGAGTCCCAATGCAACGAAGCGTCGAAAGTCGTCCCTTTATGCTCAGCAGACGACTCCGGACGTGAACAGGATCATGCCATCGTCCACCGTGACCTACGCTCAAGGGAGAACGCTAGCCGACGAGCGCAATCGCGCCGTGAACGGGCTAGATCGCTACAGTCAGGGCGACGGCAACCGCACCCCAGTCGCCGACGACTTTCGATCCAAGAATGAAGATGTCTTTTTGAACATCGCGAGATCGGACTCTGGCCGTCGCGAGTCTCTCGGACGGTCCGAACTCCGGCGCGTAAGTGACACAAGACCTGTTCTACCTGTCAATAATTGTCATCCGGTGAGCTGACCAGGCGTTTTGCGAGAACTTACAGTCGCGATTCAGAATGTCCGGCAGTGGGCTGCGTTCGTCCACGTCGCGTATGGCGGAACAGGCCCCTTCTTCCCCCGAGCAACTTCGCTTGAATACCTACGACAGCCCCTTGCATTCACAGAACGATTCCCCATCCACCCCTCACTCCTCTGTACCATATTCTTACTCAGCTTCCGCCCATCCACTGGACGATCATAGTCGCTCCTCCACTCTAGCGTATGCGTCTGGCTCCCGGTCTACCATCGGCCTGCCCCGGAGCCGATTGAGTCGCACCAGCCCGGAACCATCCCCTTACAGCCCTGAATCGCAACTCGAGAGACGGGGTTCGTTGCACGAGTCTCGCGCATATCGGCACTCCACGCTCTCTACGATCCGGAGCAGCCGGCAACCATCCAGCTCCGAGGCCACCGAACGCGCACGTTACGAGTCGGATCGGTCCCGCCAGGATGGGACGGAGTCCACCTTGTCCACAAACGCACCGTCCACCGTTTGGGACGAACTCGAGGACCTCAAATCTCGGATCAAGAAACTCGAACTGACCGGGAAGCTTCCGCCGTCATCTCAGGAGGCCATATCCACTGCGTCTGGAGAAAGGCCACGCACCGCGACAACTACAGTGACTACGGTGTCATCCTCACCGAAACGCGGCCGCAATTCAAGCTTACCATCGGGCGAGCCCGATCCGAATACGAGCCCTAGCCCTGTTCATCCACTCCTGCAGTCAGCCTTGACCAAGTCAAAGGAAGTGTTGAGTAACGAGGTCTACGCGGCCTTGGAAGTTACTGTTACCGATGCGCTGGCGCTGTCTAGCTTGCTGGGGTCCAGCAAGGCCCCGTCTGGGGGTGTCTCTGTTATCAATGGATACAGTTCGTCGGACCGGCAAGCCCGGCGCAAGGCCGACAGTGTCTGTCGCAGTTTGACTGAGCTTTGTCTTGCCCTGTCTGATGAGCAGCTTCGCAGACAGCCACCTTCCAGCCTGGATGAGAAAGCGGATGAGCAACAGGTCAATGGCCATGATGACGATGATACGATCACTCCCACCCTTTCATATCGGCGAAGCACGAATCAAGAGCCGGAGAGCCTGTCCAGGCGACAGAGCACTAACCGTGTCACCAGCCGTTTAGAAGCACGTCGGGCCAGTATGGCGAATAACGCCCCTCCAGAGACCCCAAGCAACAACAAGAGCAATGAGCTGGTGCCAGACGGAACATTGACGCAGTCACCCGGATCGTCGGCGCCTTCAAAACGGTTGAGTCGACTCTCGACTTCGTTGCGGACCAAGAGGGTGCACACCGATGATGAGATCGCGGATCAGAGCCCACAAGTCCGAACGATCCCAAGGAGCATGACGGACCTTAACCCAGCCGCGACGTACCGTGCCACGCCCCGGCAACGAATCTCGCATGCGTACACGGTATCGCAGTCGATGCCCGACTCTTCTCCGGATCGGAATGCCAGATTTTCGACTCCATCCCAACCGTCACAACTGCCTCAACCTCGTACCCCAACGCTTTCGCAGTCTGCAATTCCGCTCCGCCGGAGCGTGTTGACGCCTAGCTTTGCTCCTGCAACCTCCCGCGCAAACATCCAGGCAGGTTCCCGCCGATACGGGATGCCTTCCGGGATTGGCTCGGCCGCTCTCGGTGGTGATGGGCCCACCGATGATGCCATGCCTCCCAGCCCTCGCCAGGAACCTTCTCAGACAAGGATAATTGCCCCATCGGTCAAACTGGCTGCTAGCTACACTCCGATTGCACAGAACCGGTTGCGAGCAAACAGCCTCGGAACACGGCGATTTGGGCTCCGGCAGCGGCCGATGGCCGTTTCTGATGAGGCAGTGAATGCTCTCCATGACAATATGAACTGACTGTTTATGTCTGCTTTTTCTTCCAACTCTACGTCGTTTACGACCCCTACCCTATAACGCAGCGACTCAATCTTGGTGTTTGATTTCCAGTTCAGCCGGCGTTCCTGTGTTTTCATTGTTTTCCTGCGGCCTGCGAGGCGCATCATGTCGAGGTGTGAAAAGTGCATTTCGCCTGCATCATCACCCGTTACGAGGACTTCCGATTCAAGACCTGATTGACTGACTACTTGCAACACATGCATGCATTCACGGACTCAATGCATTGTACGAGCTTATCATTCCGTTTAAGCGACTGTCACGGACCTTTGTGCTTTTGTTCTTTCCCCTGTCCGCATCATTTCATGCCCAGTGTCGATGAAATCCTCGGAAGGCTCTGACCACCCACCAGCACTGACCCAATTGGAAATGGGATTACGATCTGTCTGTCTTGTCTCACTATTCATTTCTTACTATCCTTGATACTTATTATTTCCTTATCATCTTCTTTATTCATGTACAAATACTCGGCTTTGCGGTGACGACGCCCGTTAATATTTTCTTCTGAATGATGGTCTTGGTGCTTGGTGGATATGTCTTTTCCCCATTCGTTTTCATTATCTCTCTCATTATCTTACTTTGGGTCATAGAGGGTATTCTTTTTTCTTTCCTTGTGTCCCTGTCAATACATGAATGAATCTTATCATTTTTTTCCAAGTTTCTCTTCCTCTCTTTTTTCAGACTGTAAATCATTCCCCGCTACTGAAACACACGAATACAGTAGACCATGCCTAATTCCTACCCAAATAGACCCCCTATGCCTCTCTTCCTTCCTCTCTTCCTTCCCCTCATCCCTCCTGCGTCCCGGGCACATTGCAGTGGCAGTAAAGCAGGTAGCACACACATCTCTTTCAGCATTCTATATCTCTATCCACCCCCACTAAGTCTTATATACTATCTACATACCATCATATAGAAACAGTACGGAGTAGATAGTAACTAATTAGTACCTAGTAGGTATATTATTTACCTAGCACGGAGTACTATCTACTACGTAGGTAGGTAGGTAGGTAGGTAGGTAGGTAGGTAGGTAGGTAGGTAGGTATCTGGTGTTTGTGTGGATTTTGGCCCTTGCATGATTTGATTGATCTATTGAATATTATCTCAGTTAAGTGACTAACCATCTTTACTAGTAAGGTCAAAGGGAATGGATGGGAGAGGAGGGAAGGTTCTTTGTTTGTCAGAGGATTTTCTTAGTCCGGGTAGAACTTTATTCGGATCAGCTGATCAGGTCTTTGATTATACACACAAAATGGTTGCGATCAGCTGATCGTGGTATGACGTTATGGCTAGGTTTGGGTATTACTGACTACTCTGTCCTATGTAGGCTCTCTCTGACAAGATGGCAATATACTTGATGTCTGTTATATTCCATCACACTAGTGTTTCATTTCACGTTTGGGATATCAATAGTCCTGGTCCCTGATATACATGCCTGAGAAGCCCGGAGATGATAAGGGACCATGAAGATATAAGAAAACAGTAAGGTAGGCCCACTGAGTTAGATGTGACAGGTATCGGGATAGTTGCTCGGAATGAGGATCAGTAGAACGGAACAGAAGCAGTGCGAGCGCGGACGTAATGATTGAGTATTGGGGGGTGTTCAGTTTGAGTTCGGATGGTAAGAGGAGCAACTTTTCAATCAACGGCGACGAAAAGGCAGACTAGGATACGGAACGGAACGGGCGGTAAAGGAGAAGGAAAATCAGGAATGTCAGGTGGAGGACATGATGCCGGGGTTCCGGGTGCGGATTCATTCAAGGGGATAGTACTGGTATCTAACAGACATGTATGGTCCGCCTCGGCCATCTCTTGCTTCTTGCAAAGCCCAAGAAGCTCCACGTACGAGAGGAATTATAGAGTAACAGAGAATATGATAGTATGAGAAACGACAGCATCAAGAATCAAAAAAAGGGATTAGCACAAGTGGGAGAGGTGGTGATTGCGTGCCAAACGGCTCCGGGGAATGAGCGCATCAAATGCTCAAGAGCGCAAGGCGGGCGCCAGGTTGTGCTGAGTGTTTACTCCTGTAGCTGGCTGCGACGGGTCTTCTCGGCCTCGAGGTTCTCGTAGAGAAGGTAAAGCGCCTTCTCGTTGGCCTGAGCGCTACCCATAATGGTGAACATACGCTCGCCCGTCTCGTCATGGGGAGCCTTGGCGATGGAGATCCGAGCTCCAGAGCTCCTGCGGATCTCCGTGATCTTGCTTCCACCCCGGCCAATGATACATCCAACCATGTCGGCGGGAATGCTGATGTTCTGGGTCTGGATTTCTTCGCCATCTTCGGTGACAAGCGGGTAACCACGGTTGCTGGTGTCGGGGTTGGATCGCCTGCCGTAGCCACCGGACTGGTCGCTGAAGTCGGCACCGTTACCGGTGCGGTTGTAAGGACGGCTGTTGTAGCCATTGCCGCCGCCGCTGCTGCCGCCGCCAACACTTGGGCTCATGGAGCTGCTGCTGGTGGTGCCAACGGAAGCACGGACGGCGGGGTTGTACAAAATGGTACCAGTGCCGCGCTGCCAGTCATCAATGAGACACTTGCCGATTTCCCAGACGGCCTTTTCAATACCCTCCGGGGTTCCTTGCACTTCGACGATCCGCTCAGTAGACTGGGGGAGCATCTCCTTCTGCGCGACCATGCGCACACCCGACGCGTCCTGGATGTGCTTGATTTTGAGACCTTGCCGTCCGATAATGGTACCCATCTGGTTGTGAGAGATCAAAAGGCGAACGGCTAGTGAAAGTTAGCCAGGTGATCAGAGCATACTCGGATTTGCAAAAGAAAAGCATCGAGGGTACTTACGGTGAGTTCCGTTGTTGGACACAATGCCACCCATGCCCATCTGCGGGGCGCCTTCGAGCAGGCCCTTGGCCACAAGAGCATAGGCGCGGGCGGTACCGTTCAGAGGGCCAGTGACGGTCAATACGCGATCGTGAACTCCGGGAACCACCTTGCTGACACCGGCCTTCACGCCAGTCTCATCACGCAGGTCGGCAACGTTCTTGCCAGACTTGCCAATGATGATACCGGCTTCCTTGGAGGAAACGATGGCGCGGAGAGTCAGCATCGATTGAGCGTACTCCTCCTCCGTCTTGGGGGTCGTCTCAATGTCAACATCATCCATCATGTTGACGGCGTCCGGGGAAGCCTCATCGACCATGGTGGTATCGTGCAAGTCGGTGGCGTCCATGATGTCGGAAAAGTGAGAAATGGTGAACTTCGGGGAATGGAAAAAGTCTGGTGTGAGCGGAGGGGGATTTCGTAGACAGGACTTCGCCAACAGGTTAGTGTTGGCAGACGGAAGAGGGATGATTATTTTCGCGAGGGTGTCGCCGTAAAGGGAGGCCACGGGGACGAAGCCAATGTGGTGGCGCGCAAGAACGGACCAGAGGAAATGGGCTTCTTACCTAAAGTCGTAAAGAAGAAAGAGGAAAAACGATGAAGTCTCTGAGGAATGGAGATGAAATCTGCAGATTCCAGGAAGGGAAGCAGGAATCGAATGGGCGGATGAAGAGGGGAAAGAGGATCGATTCAGAGGGGTTTTCGGCGGGCGGGGGAAAAGGTGGAGGGATCCAGGAAATGGGAGGATGAGGGACGAGGGGGAGAGAGGAGGGCGGGAGAGGAAGAGAGGAAAGGGAGGTAGAAGGATGAAGAGGGAGGAGAAGAAGAAGCAGAGGAAATGAGGAGGAGGGAGGGAGGAGGGGATGGAAGCGGAGAGGAAGAAGTGGTGGGAAGCGAGCAGGAGGAAAAGGTGGAAGAGAGGAAGAGGAGGAGGAGGAAGAGAAGAGGAAGAAGAGGGAAGAAGAGGAGGCCGACGCAAAGTGTCAGTCACTCACCCAGGCAAAGTCCTTCGGGCGGGCTTAGTTGCGTTTTTCGGGTCTCTCGTGCGGGAACAACAACAAGGGCGATGCCTGCTCGATCCCTCTCTTCCCATCCCCCTCGACCCATCGGGCTCAAGGAGGTTCGAAATTTGTCGTCCCAGGATTTAGATCTATCGATAATCTTTCTACAGTTCTCCAATTGGTTTCCTCATCGCGTGGTTGGGGATGACGTTGAATCAATTTGGCTGACCCTCATCTAGTCGGACTGATTACTACCACCACAGAACAAGATGGCATTTCTACTTGGAATGCATGTCTTGGGAGCTCAAGCGTATGTCTTATCTCATGGCCTAGCAACATGCCAATCCCCGTTTATTTATCTGCTTCAAAAATCACCTTCTGCACCTTCATGGCGTTGAAGATCTCATACGCCTCAACCGCCTGCGAAAGGGGCATGATCTTGTCGGCCATGAAGCTATTATCACCAGTCTGTTAGCGCCCGCCAATTTCAAGAGAAACCAAATCAGAAATGTTACATACCCAAGAAGATGCTGGTTTTTCTTCAAGACTTCCAGCGCCTGTTCTGAAACGGACCGCACAGGGCACCGCCCCATCTGGACCGTGAGGTTCTTTCCATAGGCCTCGCATCCATCCCACGGGATCTGAAAATATTCTGGTCAATATTGGACCATCCAAAGCCCAGGACATCACTTACCTCTCCATTGTGCACTCCAACACTGCTGATGGTACCCCACGGCCGCAGCAGATCGAAGCCGGTCCTCAGCGCCGGACTCAACCCCACAACCTCAATGACGGCATCAGCACCTCTTCCCTCCGTCAGCTCTAGGACGCGCTTGTCCAAACCCTCTCGGTCGGTCTGGAAGTTCCAAGGCTCCGCTCCAAGGGATCTGGCAAGTTCCAGTCGCGAGGGAACAGAGTCAACAGCCAAGAGATGCTTGGGCTTGTACTCCAGAGCATTGATCAACGCACAGAGTCCGACTGGCCCGCAGCCGATGAGAACGACCGTCTGCTCTGCGATCTGCTCCTGGGTGAAGGCCTTGAATGCATTGCGCGCCGCAAAGTAACCAGTGGGGAAGATATCAGCCATAAGGACGAGGAATTTCTCATCGACACCCTCAGGGGCTTTCACCACGGATCCATCCGCATTTGGAATTCTGATCTGAGCGCCGATTTCCATTCCCGTTAGATAGTTGCTCAGGACGTAGCGAGATTTAAGACACATCTACTTACATATTCAGCCTGTGCTCCATCCAGATGGTCGCAACCCAGCAGCATGTTCTGCTCGCAGCGCGACGAGAAGCCTTGTTTGCAGTAAAAGCACTTGCCACTATAAGGCCACATGCATTAGTATAAGAGCCCCATGGTGATCACGGCGGCGATCAGCAAGCAGCTAGTTACCTACCAAGAGGTCGTAAAAGCGCTAACAACCACATCGCCCTTCTGGACGGACGTGACAGCATCGCCGACCTCCACCACTTCCCCAGTGACTTCATGACCCATCACAAATCCGGTCCCGGCAGGCTCCAGACCCCGGTACACATGAAGGTCACTATTGATTCCAAGTCAGCCAATATCAAGAGCCAAGCTAGAGAATGATAATTAAATCTCAAACAATAACTCAAAATCACCCCTTACCTCCCACAAAGTGCCGTATAGGTAACCTTGACCACAATATCCCCCGCATCCTGAATCCGGGGCACCGGGCGTTCCTCAACAGCCACCTTGTAGGGGCCGCGGAAAACCACCGCGCGCATCGTCTTTTCGGCCGACATAATTCTGAGGTTGATATTCCGAGTACTTTTCAGATAACAAGGTACTCAATTGAGTAAAATCAGAAGAACGTTCGGCCAACAATGTCTGTAGAAGAAATTTCCTAGTTCACGGCCGATAAACGGCGCCCGCCAGCCGATAATGCTTTGCCCCTCTTCTGGCCATCAGAGGGTTGGTGGGTCCGAGTCGTGAGCGACCCGACATCGAGAAGAAATATGGGGTAGACATGCTTGGGGTATGCAATGTAGCTCATATGTGGCTTGATATTGTTGGAGAGTTAGTTGCAAGGCGTTTTAGTTAGGAGCGAGGGCTTGGAGGGTGGAATGGTGTTTTAGGCAGCTGCGCCAGCATTCTGCACTAGGTACGAAGTATATATATTGCTGCTGAAGTTTTCTCCCCTGCGATGTCAGTCTTCTTGCTCTCTTCACTTTAAACATGAGTCTACTGGACACTGATAACCTGTTGCCTTCAACCCCTCATATTTGTCTTTTCATTCTGGATGTCGTTGTTCCGTTGCTCCACTGACCATTCAGAATCTTTCATCCTGGGTTTTGCAGCATCCACTAGGATCAACTATGCCTCGCCGTGTGTACTGTGCCAATGTCCGACTTGCCTGTGCTATACGTGAGTACCTCATTACGTTGGATCGGTCAGTCTTTCTCTTCTGTCAAACACCGTACCCGTGTTCAAGAGTGTCAGTCAACCATCACTTACCTTGGCCCTATATACGCAAACCTAGCAGGGAAATCTCGATTACTTGACTATATTGTGCGTATTCGTGAATTTACCAAGAATGCTTACTGCTTTCAACCTATTATTTCCGCAGATTACACCTTTAGGTTAAGAGGACCGTGGGCATTGGACGCTGGTAAGTTCCCATTATATTGAGAGAGTTTCATGAGCACGCGTACAGAAAGTACGACTTGCGATACTATCAACAACATTGTGTGTGCTTGCTTGAAAGCCACGTGAAATTGTTGCCAACTCATATGAGCCCTGCAGAGGGGTTGTGTGAACATTGGTGCCCAAGGCTTACGCGGGTAGCTCATTTTCAAATAACAGTGCAGCCGAAGCCTGCTGGTAACAGCATTTGATATTTAGTTCCCAGTTGTTGAAACATATTCGACCAACATGTCCAGCTTCATCTTGTCTCGATTTCTATACCCAGAATCATGACGATTTTTAAACAATCCCCTTTCGCAAACGATGCATACACCATTGGGTGGATTTGTGCTCTCCCAGTTGAGTTTGCAGCAGCAAGGGGAATGATGGACGAGGATCACGGAGAACCACAGACTCCACCAGCAGGAGCAGACAGCAACTCATACTTCTTGGGCTCTATGGGCAAGTTCAAAATCGTGGTGGCCTGCCTTCCCCTACACCAACCTGGCTCTCCACCTGCTGTAGCTGCGGCCAAAGAAATGCTCTTTACTTTTCCAAAGATCCGTATCGGACTGCTCGTAGGAATCGGCGCAGGAATTCCAGACATCGACAATGAGCTGGACATTCGTTTGGGCGACGTGGTCGTCGGGAGTAGCCCACAAAGTGGAGGGGTTATTGTCTACGATTTTGGAAAGATACGCGATGGGTCATTCGAGAGCCTTTCGGTGTTGAATCGCCCTCCAAAATCCCTGGGCACTGCCCTAGGAAAACTTCAAGCACTACACGAGAGCCGCGAAAATATGGTGCCTCATTATGTCGAGGAGATGCTGGTGAAGCACCCTGTAATGCGGAAAAACTACACCCATCCTGGCCAGTCGTCCGATCGGCTCTTTCAGGCCAACTACCGTCATGTTTCTGGTCCTAGAAACTGCAACAAGTGCGAAGCATCTCAGATCGTCGAACGCGAGCCGCGGCCGGATGAGGATCCAGTGATCCATTACGGCACCATAGCATCTGGCAGTATGGTGGTCAGAGATGCAGCGATACGCGATGAATTACGGGATAGACATGGGGCAATATGCCTAGAGATGGAAGCAGCCGGCTTGATGAACAATTTCCCGTGTGTTGTGGTTCGTGGCATCTCAGATTACGGGGATTCTCATAAAAATGATCGTTGGCAAAGGTTTGCGGCAGCGGCAGCAGCAGGCTGTGCAAAAGAACTCATGCAGCAGATACAGATAAATGCTCTAGATGGGGAGCCTGCAGCAAAGGACCTTGTGTATCAAGGTCAGTTCCGTGTATAGAGAGCTAGTAGAAATGTATATATACAGTGCTTCCAAGATCTAAGCTAATATTCGTTCCCCTCAAGTTCATGATGGTATTGTTAAAACCAGGAGCTTCGCAATGGCAGAACAAACTGAATCGATTTTGAAGTGGCTCACTTCATTGAACTTGACCCATAGCCAGGTAGGTATATTGAGTATAGCAAGTACGGCCATGTGATCTAAGGAAGGAGTAGCTCTTAGGATTATGCGGAAGGTCGAACCAGGAAGATGAATAAGATGCTCGGTTGGAACAATTGAAACAGTTTAACAACTCGGGTTAGTTACATGTTTGGCTCAGCTTCTTGGTATAGATGGTGAGTAGTCGATCAGTACGATCGTTCCGAACCTATCAGGAATTTTGGCGTTCGCGTCTTTAGTTTGTGCTTTATGGAGAGAATTATTAGTCTGGTCTCAGGTTATAGTCACGGTTCTTATCAAGGCATCAGGTTCTGCATATGAGTCGATTATATGGACTATAGATGGTCAAATATACGACAGATAACAGGGAAATAATCAAGGACGACCGGTTGGTATTGTATATGCCCTCAGGGTTGGCCGTGTTAGTATTTTGATATCTCAGACCAAAATCGGAGCATTAGCGTTTGTTGCAACGAGTACCATTCTATACTATCAGAGTTGAGGTCAAGCAAGATTCACTTAAGTAGTGGTTTGGAAACCTAGGCTTCCGCTATGCATTCAAATCAAATCCATCGGTTGCGCCAGATCTGCAGTGAACTCCTTGCATCAAATAAGCGGTGCTCCACTTAACGCCATACACATTGCGCCACGAGATTATAACGGAGAAAACGCTCACTGTAAGAACCAGCCCTTCGCAGGTATAGCCTGTAGACCCTCGCCCGGGCATTCGCGTGTGAATCCAGCACGCTATGTTGTTGACATCGCTGTAAAAAAGACACCCGGCACGCACGAAGGCATCTAACACACCACGCAGAGGAGTTCTTCTTCCAGAATAAATTTGCCCTCTTTGTATTTCTCGCTGGTCTCGTATGCTTTGTCATACTTCCAGCCCACCGTTTCCCTGCACTGCCTGCAGTTAATGTCACGGACGATATGCCTTCCGGTGGTCATGCTACGCTCCACCGCTTCGGACTGGGTAATGTTGACGACATTGTTGAATAGGTAGGCTTTGCCATGTTGCCCCCGGAAATTCTGCAAGACAGTAACATATCGTCAGTAGCTGTCGGTAAGAACGTTACAATCGGATCATGGGAGACCACCCACCCGGCTAATAATATCGTCATAATCCGCAAGATGGGTTTTGCATTTCTTGCACCCGAAGATCTTGCTGGCAGTAAGGTAGACGTTGTATACCAGACCCATTGTGTCCTGACCGTTGCTTTGCCTTCCCACAGCCACCTGAACAGGAGACACCTGGAACGTGAACTTCGAATACAAGTCGAAGGGGTGCGGGAACGAAGGAACTCGACGATATAGAGAGCCAGGTAGAAGCTGAAGGGATGCGGGGTGTGGTGCAACACCTGCTGTATCTCCGATTCCCTGGCACGAGAGGCTTGGCTGGTTTGTAGGGTGTTCTTCGATAACGGTTGCCTGGTGACCGATGATCGGGGTTTTATTGACCGAGAGAGGTTAGTGCTAGGATTTCCAGATCCTAATATCAGACTTCCTTCCGTTTGGCCTGGCAAAGGAACTTGGGACTCAGCCTGAGGGGAGATATTTGAGGGGAGTTGTGATAAGCAGCTGCGGCTCGACTGGTCGGGAATAAGCGGAGATGCAACTAGAACAAATGAGGAGGTAGCAGACCAGTGGCACCAAGTAGGGAGTAGCTCACTGCCTGGTGGAGGGAGATCGGGAGGACGACAGACAGGGATAGACCAATGATGAATCCAAGGGGGGTTTGGAGGAGGGGGGGATGGCAGTGTGGCACAGGAAATGGCTGAGGCGTTGAAGGAGAAGGTTCCAGTGGAGGTGGGAATCGGGCAGCTGCTCCCGGAGCTGGAAACCCCGCATCGGACCAGGTTTAGGGAGGCTGCCCCATGACGCCCGCGGCATTCCCTTGACCAACGCCCGCTAAAGGGACCCCCGCTAAGGGCCTTGCCAATGCCAGCATGTCCCCCGTGATGATGGTTGTAGTTCCTCAAAGTCCCTTATCACTGTTATCGCTGACCCGCCCCCCCCCGGTAGAGAACCGATAAAGGGAACCAAGAACCCAAAGACAGCAGCAGATGATGACCCAACCGACTGCCTCTGCTGTACGCAGAGACTAATCTGACCGGTTCAGTGAGACCTGCCACCCACGCTAGTTTCAAAGGTACTGACGACGCATACTGGTAGCCTTGCTTGGCAAGCATAATGGACCCAGTGGATGGCGTCAAAAACAATGCTGAAGACAGCCGCGGCAGTAGTGAAGATGACTAAGTCGGCCATACACCGCAAGCCACCAATAGTTAACTACCAGCGCTATCTCAATAGTGCTTTTCTCTAGATCTTGCATATAGCCAATCCACTGCCTTATCGGTCATGCACGGTATTGATATCTATCTATTCGGTATCCTATGGGTAACCATATGTTCAGAAGACCCCCATGTCACCAGTATATACAGCAATGGCCCATGGTCTGGCAGATGACCAAGTCATCAAGCGGTTAGGGGTAGAATGCTGCCAGCCTAGTTTTTCTCCGTCGCAATGCTTTCAAGTCCGGTAGACAGGTATCATGCAGGATGGTCAACATCGTATTCCCTGCCTCCGGTGTGATCAATCATGTCAGCTGACAACTGGGCCGGATGCTATTTTGCCCTTCTTGCTGGCCCACGCGGAATGCTCTACCTTTGGCCGAGCAGGCTCCGGTTCTTTTCCCAAAACTGTCGGCATTCGGTATGGCCCCAGTGGTCCGTCCACCACTCCCCAAAGCTATCCTCCACATCCCCATCCACCCGGGGCAACCTCTCGTCCCGTTTCAGGCCGCACAGGGCACACGCATGGGGCGCCTTGAGCGCTCCTTGATTAGTAGTAAATGCCATTACCCGAATATTCTCCGGTATAACCTGGACTGGAGATCTTCCGGCCGCTTGGATGATGGAATTAAAGAGCGCCGTCCGGTCGCGCCACATAGTGAGCACGTCGACGGCTTCTTGTTGTTCCTTAATATCCTCATTCTTGTTTACTGTATTGAGTTTCATGCCTCCTGATTTACCTGAGCGGGCCGGGCCAATCCTCATGCTCTGACTCAGTATGGAGTCCCGTTTCCACCGCAGTGTTCTACCAGCAACAACTCGTGCTGCAGTCTTCAAGGTGCAGATGATCAGACTTGCAGCGTTTTCGAGCTGGTCTTTCTGCTGCATGTCCTTTCTTGCTTTCGTCGCCTCTTGTCGCAGTTCATCCAGTAGCTGAGGAAATAGCTCAAGCAAGACAGATGGTGGAGGTATATTCGTTGGACGGACTTGAGCTGCTGTTGTAGGGTGGGTGGCTGTCTGAAAAGCACCTGTTGATCCTGCAGAGGCCTTGATGTTTCCAGGGACATTTTTTCCATTCTCAAGAGGCCGGTGGGCGGCTGGAGCTGCAGTACTTGGGGCACCTGTTTGGCTGGACGCTGGCCCATCGACGAAGTCGCCCCATTCCTCAAATGGGTCGTCTTGAGTAGGAAGAGGCGATGGGACATTTGGCGGATCTTTTCGGCGTGCTTTAGGAACCGTCGGTTTCGGAGTCGCAGTGGGCTTGCTCCCAGAGAAAGGTACATTGTCATGGATCGATAATGAATCTAGCAAATTCACAGGCGTCGAGTCTACTGTAGTGCGTTTCGAAGAAGCCGGCCTGGCTCTGCGTTCTTTCACAGCAGCATGGGGCTGTAGCACAACTCGTGGTGTTTCCTTCATGGTGGGCACGTCCGCAGTCTCAAACTCACCCCAGTCATCGCTCTCATCGTCTGGGACGCTTTCAAGGGTGGCATCAAATAATACATCATCATTTCCGTGTCCATACTGCGACAGCTCTGATGTCTGCGGCCTTTCGAAAGTTGACTGACTCCAGCTCGTTCCGATATGAGACGACGTTCCTGCAGACTTGTTCAGATTCGATGAAGAACGGGTGGAAGGATCCTCAAATGCATCCAAATCGGGGATTAAAGACGACGATTGAAGCCCAACATATTGATGGCGTGAATCCCTCTGGGGTTGAGGAGGAGCGGACCCCATGCCAAACTCTGCAAAGAGGTCTGCGGACATTGTAAGTGTAACCCAGAAACTATAAGACCATACACAAATATGATGGGAACTGAAAAGGAAGGACTAGGTTATGCGTGGGGTGAATGGAACCACCTCTAACAATAGAGTGCGCAACGACAGAGGTAGAAAAGAGAACTGTGTCGGATGGCTTCAGGGTTCTAGATCGCCCACCCCGGCTACTCCCCGCGGATGATGGGAGCGATGGACGGCGTCCGGAGTATAGATAAGAGACAAGGTGACCGGGAGGGAAACTGCTGGGCGGGAAAAACCAAGGCGGTCCACCGGACGATCGCCGCTAGTAGTCCGTTACTTAAATCGCGGGCGGCACCTGGGCTCTCTCGGCTGTCCCCTCATCTCAGCGCTAGCCAACACAAGGCAACCCAACCGGCAAGCTGCCATTTGGTGAAATGAGGGGTATTGAGGAGACAAGGTACATCCATGCACTGGTCCCCGTCTGCAGCATGGATGCAGCTAACATGTTCGCTAGGCAACGATGGAATACCTTCTTTGGCGACAATAACACCACCGCCGATCTTCGGACAGCCCTTCGGTCGGAACAAGGAGACAAACTGTGCGATGAGGGATTGAGATCTATTTGCTGGAAGGCATGCGCTCGTGGCCATTAGGGTCTGGTCATCGTGCTTACCTGGGCGTAGGCATTCCTACTTTTCGAGGATCTCGACCGAGCGCAATGGCCGCAGAAGATCGCCGATTCCCGAAGTGCCTATGTCGCGCTGAAAGCCCATTTTTTAAAATATATTGAACACCCGGATGACCTGCAGTCGACAGTTGATCCGCTGGCGGATGATGAAGAGGTACGTCACTTTAAGCTGGGAAGAGCTGGTCCTCTGATGGGTTGTGTTGCAGTCCCCATGGCAAACGTTACGAGATGACGAGCAGACGAGGGCGGATATCTCCCAGGATGTCGACCGGTGCCTACAGGAGAATTTCTTCTTTCGTGAGCCGTCAACGAAGGCAAAAATGGTCGATATATTGTTCATATACTCGAAACTTAACCCGGATTTGGGCTATCGTCAAGGAATGCACGAGATCCTGGCTCCGATCCTCTGGGTGATTGATAGAGATGCCATCGAGCCAAAGTCTCTGCAGGAGCTTAACGCCAAAGAAGCCGATGATGACATGATGCTTCAGCTTCTTGACGCAAACTATGTGGAGCACGACTCTTTTGCCTTGTTTTGCTCAGTTATGCAAATCGTTCGCGTGTATTATGAGCATAATAGACATCGGTCCGAAAACGGCCAGGCGGATGTTATCCCAATCGTCCATCAATGCCAGCGCCTTCATAACGAGCTCTTGGTTACCGCGGACTTGGAGCTGGCGGATCATCTGCAAGCACTAGAAATCTTACCACAGATATTTCTCACGTGAGTGCATTCCTACTATATTGGTGAGGCTATGCTGATGCACCGTAAAGCCGTTGGATGCGCTTACTGTTCGGTCGTGAGTTCGCTTTTCAAGACGTTCTTCTCATTTGGGATCGGCTTTTTGCAGAAGGATTACGACCCGAATTGATCGACTTTGTGTGCGTCGCCATGCTTTTACGGATTCGTTGGCAATGTGAGTTCTATCAGGGCATGGTCTGTCTTGTTGCTAGCTGCTGACTGATGTAGTATTGAGTGCCGATTCCTCCGGCGCTCTAAGTATGCTGCTTCGTTACCCTTCGCCTCATCCTCACGATCCCCTAAGCTTCGTACTTGACGGGATCTACTTGGAACAAAACCCCACCCCTGACCGAGGCATATTCATCATCTCAAAATATTCTGGCAGGCCACCGGATATCACCAAAGGTCTCGGGCAGCCCAATCCGAAGCCCGTATCCAGCAAAAAGTTCCGCCTGCGGAGCATTTCAAGGGATTTGAGCGAAGGCAGCTCTCCTTCCAGGTCTCCTGCAAGGAATAGCCCCAAGAGCCTCGAAGCACTTTTTCAAGACGTTTCGGAGGGCATACAACGTCGAACCGAGGCATGGGGTGTAGCCAAAGCTGTCCGAGGGGCAGTGACCGAAGCCAAGAGAAACATGCAATCTATCCAGTCGGAGCATTATTCACGCTCCGCACGGTATGAATCCTCCAGCCCTGCCGTAGGGATGCCGTGGGATCATGGTTCCGATGTTACGGCTCAATGGAAGGCGAAGATTGAACAGCTTGAAGAACGGAACAGGAAGCTTGCCAAGAACCTCGGCCATGCCTTGAATGATATTCGTTCTCATATGATGAGAGCAGAGGGTATTGATAAGAAGACTAGCAACGCCTTGAGAAACGCACTCACCCAGGTTCAATCGGTCCAGACATGCCTTGAGGACTCCTCTGTTCCTCTAGGCTCTGTGGAACAAGTTTCTAACGACAATGGAGAAGACCAGGAGTCGCTTTCTGACACCTCAAAATCCACGGGTGATCGCGTTGAGGCGGGGGCTGAGAAAGCATGTGACACGTCAACGGCAACACGCAAGGTTAGCGTATCTGCGAAGTCATCCAGGTCGTCCGTTGAGAGTGAGACGAAATCGCCCACGGCCGCAACGAACTCTCAAATTCCCGCATCTATGCCACTCCGACACGCGGCCCGTCCATCGTTGGCGGATTCGGAGTTTTCCTGGATGCTCGGGGGCGGGCGACAGTTTTCGAGTTTCGTTAGTCCGGCATCCGTGCCGCCCGAGCAAACTCGGCACGGGCTTGGGGAAATGCGATCCAAACCGAATACCTTATTTGGCAATGGAGACGAGGAGCATGGACGGTCCGGCGCTGAGCCCGACGGACTGGCGCTGCGGAGTCTTCGGGGGCCCAAAGCTCGCGAGTAGTCCGGATGTGCTTTTTTGATCGGTTCATTTTGTTTCTAGAAGTTTAGCCCCGACACTTTCATTAGTCCGATATACCCAGTTGTAGAGGTTCTGGAGCTCCTCTTCTCAATTCTTCCCTTGCTGCCTGAATCAGACCATGAAGACGGGCCGAGATACTTTATCCGGTCAGATTAATCAAAGCGTCCGCTGGGCTTTTCGACATGACTATTCCTTCGGCAAGTCGGGTAGGATTTTTGCCACAGCTGTAGTACCCTAAGGGGTCGCTATAGCCACACAGTTGAGCCACACCGCCTGCTCATGGAAGATGATAGTCCAGCAGAATATCATGCATTACCTACTAGTAAGTACTATGTACTTGGGCAGAAAAGCGGTAGGGATTCTGCCCGGTAAGTACTGGATGAGCCGGGGTCTATCACGTGCCAGTCATAGTGGAAGGAGCCAACTGGATGGGGCAGGAGGCGGCCCGGAGAAATGAGTCTCAGGAATGACAGACCGAATGTGAAGTGAGACTAGTCCTGTAGGCAACAGGGAAGTCCAAGTGCCTGGGTACCTGACTTGCGTAAGTCATCGAACGGCGACGCCGTACCGGGCCTTCAGAACATCGATTGCCCCGTGGACGCAACGCGGCCTCCACATCCCACCTGACTGACTGGCAGGCATTCTAACTTCTAGGAATATCTGGCTACGGCGCCATGGAGCATGCCAATTGGTCTGGAACCATCCGGTGAGATTAGTGCCGACGTGGACGATTGATCGTCGGGCTGCTCTGAAGTCGAGTCCGTAGTTTTCTTTACTGTTGCCCCAATCAGGCCGGACGAATAACTCGGTGACTGGGGTGATCTACACCACCACCGAAGTTGGTCGAGTTAGGCCGCCGAGACACGAGACGAGTGAATCAGTTTGTTTCCCTGGGAGCAGGAGGGGAAATTGGAAGGGTGGATAGAATGGATCGGAAGAATGATAATACGAATCAGACGAGGGAACGATGGATCGAACCATCTGATAATGATGGTTTCGTTCACGCCCCGTCGGGAATTACATCACCACCATGGACAGGCGTTGGGGACAGAGTCGCAGTCGCAGTCGCAGTCGCAGTCGCAGTCGCAGTCCAAGGCAAGGCAAGGCAAGGCATGTGGAGTGGGAGCCAGAGCAGGTTGTCAGACCTCAATAGTAGCATATCCGATGGGGGAGGGATTCATTGCATTAGTGACTATGTGATCGTCTGTTGTCAATGGCCAGCGGGATCCAGGATGGGATGGGAGGGGAAGGGAAGGAGAAGCCCTCATAAGTTTGCAAAGAATATTGACGGGGGGTTCCTAGTCCTACTGCTAAGTTTTGGTTTTTCTACGCTCCCTTCTTTCGCCTTCGCCGACCGTGCCGTACCACCCAATTTCGACCCTGAACTACGGAGGACTCTCAAAAGTGTCGCCGCTGGCTGGCTGAGTTGAATCTGATCGTCCAAATCTATTTCCCAAGTTCAACCGGGGCTCCTCTGACAGCTTGTTCCTCGTGCGTGGAGCTGCAAGACCGGATCAAAATCATAAAAGGGAGCTCAAGGATCTGAAACTGCCGTTGGACTGGAACTCATTACTAGTCCTTTTACTTTCCCCCCCCCCCAACCACAACAGGACGTCATCCATCCCTCCAGACATTGTCAACATCTTCACTTCCTGCGGTCTCCACAATTACCCACCATAGTCTACTGTGACTCGCTTCTACCATTTTTTTTCCTACGGCGCATCCCTTTCTCAATCGGAGCGTCCTCTGGAGACCATTTTCTCTTCCCCTCTGACCACATTTGTCGGTTCGCAGTACCGGCGCCGACCTCACCTCCTTACCCTCTACGACCCGCCACTGCAACATCCTTTTCCTGTGCAGGCCATTGGCCTCCCTGTGACTAACTCCGACCAACAAGAGACACCCCTCTTCATTAGGCTTTCTCCAGCTTCCTTGTCCCTCCCTCCCCCGCGTGCTACGCCTCCCTTCGCAACCGTATGGTACCTGTGACCTCACGAGGCAGCTGCCCTCTCGCGTTCCCGCCCGCAACCCGCTGACAGCCTTTTTTCCCACCTTCACTGCGCCGACGGCCGGACTGACCGAACCGACTCACTGCAAGACTCGCTTGTCTCATCCAGTGCATTGGCTCATTGGAATCCCGGCAAGCAGGAGGTCTTGGTTAATCTCCCCCTCGCAGTAACTCGTGAATTCCCAACGCACCGGTCTGCAAAGAAAAAAAAAAGCGAACAATCCGAAGAAGAAAAGTTCCCTATAAAATAACCAAGGGAGGCAGAAAGACGAGATCTGTGGACCTCGCCAGACAGACAACCTTGGATGGTTAACGTCCTGTTATCCCATGTAGCAATAAACCTCGCCGTCAATCTTTCCTAGCCCTCTTTTCTCAGTCATTCGAGTTGCGCCGATTTGAACCGCTTGTTTTTCAATCGGTCCGGTCGGTGCTGGTTCCTACGCCCTCGCCTACTTGGGAAAATATGGGTTCTGCTTCATATAATCCCGATGGTTAGTCGTGCTGCTTCCTTCTCCTTGATCCTCTCTCCTTGATCGTCACCGATTTCCTCTGCATCCCCTAGCGTACCCATTCAGCACGGTACATTTGTTGGCTCCGAGAAGCGTATTCGATAGGTCTATCTATACAGGGCGACCAAGTTGCAAGCGAAACGCGACTGTCCATTCGTGGTGGTCGTTTAATCTGGAAATCCGGGTCGGGCTTTCCAGACCGTTTACCCACATATTTGGATATGCATCTCGGGACAAGTCAGCCACTTCATTCCACATTGCTGAAGGGTGCACTCGGGAAAGGCAGAAAAGCGGATGATATCACCAGCGAGGGAGCAAAGGGATGTCGGCGGCCAGAAGCTAACAAGATCGTTTCCATCCAGGTGAACCAAGTCCATTGTCGTCCCCCGTGGGACCCCTGTCCACGTCGCCCGAGTCGGACCCTTTTATAAGACGTCTCTCGGGGCAAACGGAGGATTCGATGAGATACTCGGCGGAGACCCTTTCATCGGGGTACGATCACCTTTCAAGGTAAGTGGCCGATGGAGGAGCTCTCCTTGCATTGAGATTATATATGCATTAGCGCAAAATACACAGGCAGGAACTGAAAGGAATCTTTCTATTTCTCTTCTGCAGGTCTTCTCTGCTGGATCATGAACATGGACTTGGCCCATCTGGTCTAGATCGCATACGTCAACAGCCATCACGAGTCTTTACCCTTCCGAATCTGTCTGCCTCATCACTCGCACCTATGACCTCACGTAGTCACTCACCCTCTCCACGGTCAACTTCTTCGACCAGAGCCCATCCCACCCGCCAGCCATCGACTGAGGAGTTTGGCGCCTTAGAAGATCTTCATCGTTTTCCCTGCGAATCACTCCACTCGTTTTCCTTCGCACAGCAGTCCGAGGAACTACTTAATAATCGACACAACATCCTGAAGAGGTCTATAGATTTCATGCGCGACCGCTTTGGCTGGACGACGAGCACCAGTTCGGGACTTACTAGCGCTCAGGCTCGTTTTGGTGGAGACGCTGATACTCAAAGTGTGGTGGATTTCTTCTCGCGGACCAACGTCTCGGGAAGAGAGGACCGCTACAACTACTCTGGTCTTTCGCGGGGGCCCGTGACCGGCCCTGCAGATGTGGACAGCGTAAACATCTTCGAAAGAGCATTCGCTGAGCCCCAGCTACCCTTGGATCAGTTCAAGGAGACGGCCCAGGAGCATGCTTCGCTTGACGCTTTGCGCTCCTCGGGTCAAACATCGGACGACCTTCCATCCCCTCTCCGGACGGACATGAGGCCCTATCCCAGGCGCGTAAGCATTAAAAAACGTACATTTACTGAGGCCGGCTCTATTGCTGTCCAGGGCAAGCTGATGGAGACTCTAGCACCTTATACCACCACGGATCCCCTATCACCCACCAGCACCTCCACTCTAGGATACGGCTTCCCGGTTCCTGTCCTACACACGCACAGCAGCAAGTGGACACCTGCATCACAAGCCGTGTTCAGGACCGAGTCGCATGAACCGTGGACCATCTTGGCAGCGAATGACATCTCCTGTCTTATCTTCGGGGTCACACAAGCGGAGCTCCGCAAGCTAAGTATCCTAGAAGTGGTACAGAAAGACCGCAGACAGTGGGTGGAGTCTAAGCTGCGGGACCCCGCCACCGATGCCGCAGCAAGGCTCCAGGCTTCGCCGGAGAAAGCCCGTTTCAAGGCCGTCAATCCCAAATCAATGGGGATGGGCAATGGTGTAACAGCGCAGCTGCTCAGCAAACCCCCTTCTCGCTCAAGAGCTCCGAGGAGGGCACAGACCGACGACGGATACGGCTCGAGCACCAGGCAACTGAATCACCCGGCAACCAAGTCCCGTGGTGTCCTCCTGTGCGGGGATGTGGTGCCGATCGAGAAGCGCAATGGGAAAAAGGGGGCTGCCAGCATCTGGGTCATGGAAAAGCGCGGCGGTTTGATCTGGGTCCTCGAGGAAATCCAGGAGAATGTTGCGATGGTTCGCTGCGACGAATCGTGGAATATTGCGGATGCCACGGGGGATATCGACAAAATCTGGGGTCAGGGAGCGGCAAAGCCCGGAGACCGGATCACGGAGCTCCTCCCCAATCTCCCGACAGAGTGCCTTGAGAATTCGATCGATCGAGGTCTAGCAAAGATCACCGAGACGAAATACTTTGCGACTCGTACGTCCGCTGGCATTTGCATGCCATCCACGATTTCCAAGGGCGAGAGTCCCAGGAGCCTTCGGATATCGAGCTTTCCGCATGTTGCCGGTATGATGGTGCTCTCATCTTCGACTTTGAAAATCGTCAGTTCCAATTCGGTGTTTTGCTCGGCACTATTTGGCCATGAGCGACCGGAGGGGCTACACGTGAATGATTTGATCCCTGGGTTCGACAGCTTGCTCAGCGTGCTCACTGAGGAGGAGCGGGTTCCCCTGGTTGATGGTCTTGTGATCTCCGAGCCCAGCTTCCGGAGGGCACGAACCCTGTCTATTCTCCGGGACGGGAAGTCCAACGTGGCCTCGGTCTTTCTAGAACCTGCTGGTTTGGCTGCACTTCACCGCGACGGCTCATCGATTGCAGTGGATGTTCAAATGCGTGTGGCGAAGAGCGGCACCATGTTCCCGAAGCCACGAGAGGATGCCACTTCAGGAGATGCAGGCGACTCGGAATTCGAAGCTGTCACAGAGCTTGTTTACGCCCTGTGGGTGAGCTACTCCAGACATATCCACTCCGCAGCTCCGGCAGCGAACCTCCCTTCTCCGCCGTCCCGGGCCGACAGCCCATCTTCCACTTCTGTGTCGAATCTGCCTTCGACAACGTCTTCCACTTCGCATCTCATCGGCACGGAGCGAACGTCTGTCGAGACACACATACCAACTTCCACCTTGAGCCAGCAACTCAGTGAGGCAGCATCACAACCGCTAACCGACAAGCCGGTACAGCCGGTGCCTGAAGTGAGACCCGCCGGGGCCAAAGAGACGCCGAAGAAACGAGTCATCGGTGACTACGTGATCCTCGAAGAGATGGGTCAGGGAGCTTACGGAGAAGTCAAGCTTGCGCGCATGAAGAAAATCCCGACGAAGAAAATGGTCCTAAAGTACGTCACGAAAAAGCGAATTCTTGTCGACACATGGACCCGAGATCGTCGCCTAGGAACCGTTCCGCTGGAAATCCATGTTCTGGATTATCTTCGGCGAGATGGGTTGAAACATCCTAATATCGTGGAAATGGAAGGGTTTTTCGAGGACGACGTCAATTACTACATCGAGATGACGCCGCACGGGCTTCCGGGAATGGATCTATTTGATTATATTGAGCTGAAAGCCAACATGGATGAGGCAGAATGCCGGAACATCTTCAAGCAGGTTGTGGACGCCATCCACCACCTCCACACGAAGGCGCTGGTTGTGCATCGCGACATCAAGGATGAGAACGTGATCTTGGACGGTGAAGGTCGGATCAAACTGATCGACTTTGGAAGTGCTGCTTATATCAAGAACGGGCCCTTTGATGTGTTTGTGGGCACCATTGGTGAGTTTTCCGAATTCGCTTGCTCGTTCGATAAGCTGACTGTCAGAAGATTACGCGGCACCCGAGGTTCTTCAGGGCAAATCCTACCGAGGCAAGGAGCAGGACATCTGGGCCCTCGGAATTTTACTTTACACGATCGTCTACAAAGAGAACCCCTTTTACAATGTTGACGAAATCTTGGACCATCCCCTGCGCGTGCCATTCCTGCCATTTTCCGAGGATTGCATCGACCTGATCCGGCGGATGCTGGACCGGGATGTCGACAATCGGTTGACCATCAGCGAAGTGTTGGAACACCCCTGGATGATCGACAGCTGAGTATACGCTTGGACGATAGACGCGCCGTGACATAGTACATTGGATGTTACAGTCACAGATAGCATTTTCATATAAGGGCGTCTTGGCGAGACGCTGCCTTGCTTGGATCTTCTTTTTTGGACTGGAATCACAGTTGTCATGACGAGCAGCGTATCGGATGACTCAGGAAGCGATGGCACTTATGATTAGAAACGATCAAAACGGGCCGAGCGGATGGATGGATTGGTCCTGGTGTGCGGGGGTGGGATTATTGCAGGTGAACCGACCGGAGGCCCGTGGGTCGTTTGTATAGAGGATTAGGAGGCTGAGATACCCCATCGTCATCTTGTTGCTCTTTTGGTTAGATGTTTGCATTTACTCGGACGCGTTTTGATTCCAGGCATGGCCGAGAATTGACAGCATGACATGAATTCATCCCCTTACGGAGTACGGAGTGCTCCGTCGTAGACTGCGGTTCAAATAAGCGGGCACGAATGGAGATGACAAGCCCATGCGCGTTATCTGGTAACTTTCCACAACGGCCGACCACATGGAGATCTGGGCGTCGATGATTGCGGGGTGAAGCGGGGAAGTCAGGCCGCGGTCTCGTCTTATGCGCAATACGGAGTACCCCGTAGGGAAGTAAGTAGACAGTCCTGTATGGCTAGTAGCAGTAGTCTAGAATCGTGGCGTGCGTGATACACCCTGAAATCATGCCTGATTCCAGCCCCCCTTGAATGACAGATAATCTTCCTTCTCCAAGAGGTAACAGTCATACCTAAGCATTGTGAGTATAGATCTATCCCTTACACAGACTCGACCCATCGCACAAGATACATAGCAATCGATCGCTCCAGAATCAGACCATCTCAATGATAATCCAACAATATGACAGCCTGAATGAAGCATGGATGGATCCATGGCTACCTTAGCTTACCTGACTTACCGGGTTAGGAAATCGGCCGTCGGGCTTGGCAGCTGTCAGTGTCTGTCAGTTTCGGTGTCAGGTACGTATACGTCTTAGTTTCCTAGAGGAGAGTGATGAATGGATAGATAGATGGGGGCTCGGATCGCTGCTTTAGTTTTTTTGCTATGTAGTTTTTGGGTTTAGTTGGGATACTCGGTACGGAGGACTGTGTGCTTTATTCTGTGGAGGTTGGGTTTACATCTTGTATTTTTCGTTTCTGATCAGTCATTAGGTATATTTTACGAGTAGGTAACTAAGTAGTGTCCAACAAAGCGGTATGAATAATAAGAATCACAATTCTACGAACGTAAATAATCCACCTAGGTAGTCCGTACTGAGTACGGACATGTACAGTCCCGCTGGTAACAGCGCGGTGGCGTTGACCCTCACTCTCTGTCTACAGTATCGCCTCCGTGTACTCCGTACTCCGTACTGTGTACCTCTCCAGTCTCATGTCTTAGCCACAGAGGAGCATCAGCACCCCGAATTGCACTCTCATTGGATTCCCGGAGGAGAACCGACCAGGAACACTGTCTGTTAAGTGGTGGCCTGGTGGGCGGTGGGTGGTGGTGGTACCGTGGCATGGGCTGGTTGTTCTGGGCTCTGCTTGGTGGGATTTGGGGTGGGGTTGGGGGATGGGCTGAGGTGATTGGGTTGGTTTGGGGTGGGGGGTCTTTCACTTGTTCTTCCGGGTTCTTTAGAGTCTGTTTGGGATGGATGGGAGGCTGAGGGATGGTGGGTTGTCACAGTAGGTAGAGATGCCGAGGTTGAGGGGTGCTTTTACACAGAGTAATAAATTTGTTTGTGATCTATGGAGTGTGGGTAGTGTTCATTTAGTTGTCAGGTCTGTGGCAGTCAGATGGCAGAATAAATGGAATGGTGTGCTGGCCTGCTGCTGGCTGCTGGCAGTGGCAGTGGCTGCATCCAGGTAAGGTAACGACAAGGAACAAGGAAGTGCTCAGCCTCCACTTCCACCTTTAACTCTGTAAAGTGTACTCCGTACTCCGTATGGAGTAAGACGAGGCATTTACCCAATTCGGGCTTGACGTACGGATCGTACCGTCTGCCTATCCTTATCTTGAATCGTCCACGGATCGGCTGATTTGATCCTCTGACTGACATTCTCATGCGACCATCCCTTCTTATCTTTCGAGAGGTCACTCCCAATTAGAGAGGTTCACCTCATCTCTGGAGGGGGGTATGTACCTCACCTCTGGAGGGAGGATGGCCAGAACACGGTGACTCCGCTGGACCGCCACCGCCCGCCAAGTGGGGCAGCGATAAGTGCCTCGATAAGCCTGTGGGGTATACCGACAGGTACGGTATTGTTCGGATCCCTACCACACTAGTCGTAGAACAGCGACCGGGCAGGGACGGTGAATGGACTGTAAATGGACGGTCTCAGAGCTCGGAGTCTCCTCCATTGTTGCTGTGGCCATGCATCCCCTGCACACCATCCGCCATTGACACGCTGTGGCTCACCCCGTCCTGTCCCGTCACTGGCTGTCGCCTGACCGGCCAGCCTGCCTTACGTGATTCCCCCCTTCTCGCTGCTTTCCTCTCCTCATTCTTCTCTCTTCGTTCCTCGCTCTCCAGCAGACTCATCGTCGGAATTGCCTGCGTTTCTGCTCTTTTCTTTGTCAATAGCGGTGGATGATGCTTCGGTGACGTCTGCAAACCAGCGCCTTACGTTGCAGAGTCTCCCAGCCTGTGCCGGCAACCCGCACTGCTGCCAGTTCTCCGGGGTTACGCGGTCTCAGTCCCATGGTACCATCTTAACGGTCCTTAGCCGAAAAGCACGACCTGTCGCTTGTTTGTCTGCCCTGCTGACCCTCATTCTCCATTTCAAACTTCCCTTGCCTTTTTCTCCTCAGTGTTCCTCTGCGGTCACGGGGACCGGCGTTGATTGGGTGTGTTCTTCAGACTCGACAACAATACTTGCGGAAGACTGGCGAGCTTCACTATGGCCGTCTAGAACTCCGCCTGCGCTCGTCGCCAATACAGACCGTTCCTGGCTACCTGTCTAGCCGTCTACGATATCACATCGCACGATCACCCCTCTTGAAACAACCCGACAGGTGTTGAGAGATTGTTGGGATTGAAGATTCCGGTCGAGACCGCCATTCCGTCATGGCTACCGCATACCCTGATGAAATCCAGGCTTCACCTGAGGCGGCCTCGCCCGTGAGCCCGTCTTCTTCAACCGGCCAGATTCCTTTGGAACAACCGCCCAAACTCAAGGGACGTCATAAGTTGTTGCAGAGTCTTCAACGCATCTCGTCCAGTCCTAGTTTGACCCGACGGGGCCGATCCCATTCTACGGGATATCGCCGGGATGGGAAGGCATCTTTGTCGTGTGTATCGCTCTCGCAGTCCGCATATACCCCGTGTCTGGGCAATGGAAGCACTTCCCAGCTCTACGGGGGATTGAACGCCCGTCCGATAACCCCCGGCTCTGGCTTTCCGGCAGATCATGATGGGAATGCCCGAATCCGCCTTGTCGGCTCCGATTCCCCCAATGCCGCCCACTCGCGCACCGTTCCCCTGCCTACCGACTTGCGTCCGGGATCTCGCGGCTCCCCGTTGGGGATGGACGCGGTTGACGAAGCTGCCACGGCACGGTCGACCCCGAAGCCCAAGCGAGTCTTTGATTTCTGGGGGAATATGCCCGATGAGCTGAAGATGCGGATCTTTCAGTTTCTGAGTCCGAAGGAGATTGTCCGTTGCTCTGCCGTCTCCAAGGCATGGAACAAAATGTGTTATGATGGACAGCTGTGGACCGAGGTTGACACCACAGACTACTACCGCGATATCCCGAGCGATGGTCTTGTGAAGCTCATCACAGCCGGCGGACCGTTTGTTCGCGAGCTCAATCTTCGCGGATGTATCCAATTGAAGGACAAATGGCAAACCGAGGGGGATCGCATCACCGACCTGTGCCGGAATCTGGTCAACTTTTCGCTGGAGGGATGTCGCATTGACAAATCTTCTATTCACTACTTCCTTTTGCGAAATCCCCGTCTTCAGTACGTCAATCTCTCCGGATTGTCGTCGGTCAGCAACTCGGCCATGAAGATCATCGCACAGTCCTGTCCCCAGCTCGAAATGTTGAATGTATCCTGGTGCACCGGCATCGATACCTCGGGACTAAAGAAGATCGTCAGAGCTTGTAAAAAGTTGAAGGATCTCCGCGCGAGTGAAATCCGTGGGTTTGATGACGTCGAATTTGCTGTAGACGTGTACGAGCGAAATACTCTTGAACGCCTGATCATGAGCCGCACCGATCTAACTGACGACTGCCTTAAGGCGCTTATGCATGGCATTGACCCGGAAATGGATCTCCTTGAGGAACGGCCGATTGTCCCTCCTCGGCGATTGAAACACTTGGACATTCACCAGTGCCCGGACTTGACGGACGATGGGGTGAAGAGTCTCGCCCACAATGTGCCAGAACTCCAAGGCTTGCAACTTTCACAATGCTCTGAGCTTACCGACGAATCCGTGATGGCGGTCATCCGAACCACGCCTCACCTGACGCATCTCGACCTGGAAGATATGGAGAGACTGTCGAACAACACGCTTATCGAGCTGGCCAAGTCCCCGTGTGCGGCGCGCCTGGAACATCTGAACATCAGTTATTGCGAGAACATTGGAGACATTGGAACCTTGCAGATCATGAAGAATTGTCCCTCGCTTCGCTCCGTGGAAATGGACAACACACGCGTATCCGACTTGACTTTGATGGAGGCCAGCTTCCGTGTGCGCCGACGCGGTTACGACGAGAACCTTCCTCGGATCGGCCTGCGTCTGGTCGTCTTTGACTGCGCCAACGTGACCTGGGCTGGTGTCAAGGAGGTCCTTTCTAGCAACGCGTATCTTCCGCGCGCCACTCGCAAGTCAATGCAGGCTGTCTCTGTTGTCACTCATGCGGTAGCCCCGGGTCAGTCCACGACCGAGATCGCTTCCTCAATCACCCCTCCCCCGCCGCCGCCCGTCTATCCCAATGAAATCATTCACCTTAAGTGCTTCTACGGCTGGCAGATGACGGTGGACGAACACAACAAGCGAGTGCTTCGTGGCGACTTGGTAGCTGCGAGCCGACTGGATCGCAAGTGGGCCGAATACATGATGGCAACGGAGGAAGCAGGCGCTCCCGGGGCGGGAGTGAGGCGAAGACGACGTCGAGCCCGCGAGGCCGAGAGAATTTACAATGACGACGATGAGGATGCCCCTTATGGTGTGGGACCCCAGGCCCTGGGAGCTGGAAGACGACGACACACCGAAGGCGGCGGCGGCAGCGGAGGCTGCAGCGTCATGTAGTGACTACACATCGGCTGGTATTGCAATCGAGCAATTGTCTGAGCGATCACTCTTTGTTTTGTTACAGGTTCCGGAAACCTGTCATAGACACGCCGTGGTCTCACTCAGTGGCAAGGATCGATGCCAGCATGCTGGATTGAGCATCGCCCCAACGAGTGAATGCTACGAGTTATGACCTGATGATTGACAAGTGCCAGTCACTTGTCCGCATTCTTTGCCTGGGATTTCGTGAGGCATCTGCCCACGATGGAATGTATTCTCGTTCATCTACTTTACCTAGAAGGGTGCAGCCGGAGTTGTCCGGCGGTTCATCCAGTGATTTAGATTCGAACTGGTTCTTTGCATCTCGCGTACTGTAAATTATGAACGAACAATTGACATTGGGTATCGTATGATGGCATAGCGTACACTGTTCCAGAGGCCCGAAAGACAGACAGACAGACACAAACTCCTGAAAATGCTTCACTAAACAGCCCAGTCGGACAATTCACATCTCAAAGAACCCTCCATCACTCTCCTCGCCATCATCCTTGCCCGCATCCCGCATCACGTAGTCTTCTCTCGCCGCCGCCCTTCTCTTCGTCCTCTCACTCCGTCCGGACTCGACCCGCTCCCGACTCTTCTCACTCTTCTTGACCTCCTTCACCGCACTCTTCTTACCCTCCTTCTTCACCTTCTTCTCCCCTCCGGAAGCCTGCCCCTGCCCCTCCACCTCCACCTCCAACTTCCCATCCCTCAACTCCTCCAACGTCCCCTCCGCCATACACTTCTCCACAACATGCCACATCCCGGGCTTCTCCGCCACCGTCGCATGCACCGGTCCCACCCGCGCATCCCCATCCTCCTCGGCTGCATCCTCCTTCCCCCCAGTTGTCTTTTTTCTTTGCTCCGCGTACAGAGCGATATATTTCTCCGACAGCGGATAGTAGATGGTATAGTTGAGATTCACCTTGGCTACGTGCAGTTTCTCCGCGAGGGAAGCCAATTTGCGTTCTTTTTCGGAAGATGAGGAGGAAGAGGAAGAGAGGTCTTTTTGGAGGCGTGTCAGGCGGGAGATTTCTTTGGTGGCGGTTTTGCGGTCTATCATACCCCCCAAAACAATATGATTAGCATATTTCCACCTAAGATACTCAAATCTCTCCGAGAAAAGAATCACAGCCCGGTATACCCAACCAACACCGAAGCCAAAAAGAAACAAGGAGTAGCGGGTGGGGGTGGGGGGGAAGGACATACCCAAAAACCTTACAAAATGATACTTCTTAATCATCTTCGACCGATCCCGTCTCTTCAACTCCTCCTCTAGATCCCTCTCATAGCCCGAAAGTGCCCGCTCCTGCACGATGCGCGCATCAGCGGGCAAATCCGCCTTGTTGAGAAGTCGTTTCACGTCGCGGATGCGTTTCTTGAGCTCGTTGACGGACGGGTATTTGTGTTCTTTTTTCGGGAGGTGGATTTTTTTCCGGCTCGGTTGGGTGTGTTCTTCTTGGGAGTGGGTGTGGGAGTGGTGGGTGGTGGTGGTGGTGTCGGGGGTGTCAAAGTCGCGCGTTTTGCGCTTCGGGATTCGGTTGGCCCCTGTTGGGGCGGGGGCGTATTCGCGGGGCATTTTGGATATGTTTCCTCCGGTTGTGTTGGGATGAGGGTGAAATGGTTGAAGGAAACGTCAACTCTTAGATTTGGAGATGTATTATCGCCAGAATCCAACGCAGGAAAAAAGTAATAGCGGATCATTAATCGGGCCGGAAGCTGCCTGTCCCCCGGGGTAGCCAATCAGAATCTAGGTAGTCCCATGACGCGCGCCGGACATCCAACCAGCCAAGGATGCGAACTACTTAGTTACTTACCTATCTACTACGGAATGCCTCGACTGTAAGCTACCTGCGACCGACATGAATGTCTAAGGCCGCCCTCTTCCAAAACCATTGGGCTGATGCGCACTGACAATACCCACCGCCAATGGATGGACCGCCGATGACGGATCAGATTGCAGCGGCTGAAATCAGATCGAAGTGGTGACCAGTCGCATCGGCGACGGCAGCACAAAGCACAGGGGGTCAGAAATCGGATACCTCAGAAAGAAAAAAAGAAAAAAGAAAATAAAAAAATAAGAAAAAGAGGAAAGCAAAGAAGAGTGAAAGGAGACATGGAAAAAGCCATCCGGTGGTCCCCGACCTCCACTACAGCAGAACAACGCTTCCTGTCGGTGGACGTGACCGGGAAGGCCTTCCGACTGTGCAAAGTCACCTCGTTTGATGGCGGACGACGGCTGGAACAAGAAGTGCTCTCGACGCATACCAAGGTGCCCGCGTTTCGGGCATTCGATTGGTCCCCGGTCGATGAGTCGTTGGTCGCGGTGGGCCAGTCGTCGGGCGATGCGACAATTCTGCGCATGAATAGCGAGACGCAGGAATCGTTCTCGTTTCCGATTCGACATCAGCGCTATTGCAATGCGGTTGCGTTTAGTACGCATGGACTGTTGGCCGCGGGGCTGGATCGGGTCCGCAATGATTTCTGTCTCAATATCTGGGACGTGAATCAGCGGTTGGCGAGCAAGGCTGTCAAGGGGTTCGTGGAGCCGTTGAGGAAATTGGCAAGCTCGGAGCCGATTACGAGTGTCAAGTTCTTTACGGATCAGCCGGATACGTTGGTGACGGGGGTAAAAGGGCAGTTTGTTCGGATCTATGATCTAAGAGGTTGGTTTCTCTCTATACAGGTGGTGGGTTGTTTGTTAATGCGTTCCAGAGGGTCCTGGAAACCCGTCGCTGCAGTTTCCCACGCGCTGTGTGCATAATGTGGCCATTGATTCGCTCGATCAGAATTATATCGCCTCTTGTCAGGCGACGAATGATCCGACTATCTGCATCTGGGATCGGCGCATTGGGTCGCGCTTCATTACCCCGGCCGTTGGGCCGACTGCCATGGAGACAATGCAGTTGGGACCGTCGCTGGAGTTTGGAAATGTCATTGCGCCCAAGTCGACCATTTGGAGTCTGCGGTTCTCGAGGACCAAGCGGGGTTGTTTGGGTGTGCTCTCGAACACGGGACATTTCAAGACTTACGACATTGTGAAGGAGTACCTGGATGAGGATATGCGTTCGTCGATGGATGAGACTCTAGGACAGGGCTCCACGAGAAACTACCCTGAGCAGATCTACACCAAGTACGTCCGTGATGTGGTCACACCTTATAATCATCCTTCCCGGGGGTATGATGAGAAGGATCGGGTTGTGGCGTTTGATTTTCTCAACATGAGCCCGGGCAATGAGCCCAGCGCAATTACAATTTCCGGAAACGATGAAATCAATATTCTCACGGCAAAGCCTCCAGCGCCTCCGGTGCGACTGTCGTCGCAGGGCACATTGATATGGGGGTCTCCGGATGAGGGATCTGATTTCAAAATGATTACTCCACCGGCCAGTCAGGGATCGAGCATTTCCAAGGTGGTGGAAGATGTTCGCGAACGGATGTCTGACCAGAATGGGGCTGCTTCGCAGAAAGGACGCCGGGCCAATCGACCGGCGACTCCTCTGTCAAGCCGCGAGGCGAGGGAACATGCCTTGTCGCTGGGGACTCTAGGCGGTCGGCTGCCGGTGGAGGATGCGCTGACTCTGTTGTCAGTGAATCGGCTTCGGTGCAAAGAAGGTTATCTATTCGATGAGGCACGGAACAGGAGGATTCTCGCCGATGATCCATGGCTGCAAGGTTTCTGGGACTGGGTTGAGCGTAAGTTACTGCCGACGTTTTGCGAACCATGCTGACCCATTAGGCGCACGCTCCGACTCTTGCAACGAGTCCATGATCATCAACGGGCTGGACCTGAACTACCTGGGCATTTACGATGTCTGGACCAATGACTTAGGTTTGTACCAGACAGACCTATCCTAGGTACCTGACTAACGTCACTAGGGGAGAGTCTGGAGGACCGACGAGTCGGCCACAACCAGGCAGTCGACATCCACGAAACCATTTTAGAGCTGGTTCAAGAGCTCAACCTCCCCGAAACCAAAGGCTGTGAGACCGAGTACGCCGAACATCGCCGGCTGTGTCTGCGACTCTGCGGCGCGGCGCAATCCCACCGAGAACTTGAGGGGCTCGTCAAAACACTGTCCGCCGACAAGCAGCATACCAAGGCTGCCGCGCTGGCCATCTTTCAGGACGAACCCAAGCTCGCCTATCTAGCCTTACGAAGCCACGAGCCCACCCAAGCTCACAAACTCCTTGCCATGGCGATTGCCGGCGCCGCGAAGGGTGACACCGACTCCGACTGGGAGGACACCTGCGCCGAAATCGCCAAGGAGCTCACCGACCCGTATGCGCGAGCCATTCTCGCCCTCGTGAGCAAGGGTGACTGGCGCTCTGTCATCCAGGAAACCACCCTCCCTCTTCGATACCGGATCGAGGTAGCCCTGCGCTGGCTGCCAGACGACGACCTCACCAATTACCTCCACACCACCACCACCTCTGCCATCCAACAAGGCAACATTGAAGGTATCCTCCTCACCGGGCTGAATCACTCCGCCATGGACCTCTTCCAATCGTACATCAACAAATTCCACGACATTCAAACGGCCGTGCTGGCCATGAGCCACACGGTGCCGCGGTTCATCAACACATCGCCAGACCGTGCGCGCTTCGAATCCTGGCGCGAGACGTACCGCCAGCAGATCAACGCCTGGAAACTCCAACTCGAGCGCGCGCGCTTCGACGTGGGTTCGCGCAAGTTCGCCGTGACCTGGGATGGGCGCAAGTTGATCGACCCACCCCGCCAGCAAGTCAGTCTGACCTGCAACTACTGCACGCGTCCACTCACCCAGCACGACGCCTCCTCCCAATTAGCCCCCTCGGTCACGGGCGAGGTTGTGCACCCAACCCCCGGCAACCCCCTCGGCAGCGCCGCCATGTCCGGTACTGTGTGTCCACGCTGCGGACGCCATATGCCACGCTGCGGAGTCTGCACGCTCTGGCTGGGGGCACCAGACCCGATGTCTAAGGCATGCGTGGCGGCGGATGCTGCAGCGGGCGAGCGGCGACGCCCATCCGAGGCGGAGCTAATGCGTCGATTCATTGTGTTTTGTATTAATTGTAATCATGGGTTCCATGCGCATCACGCGCGGGAGTGGTTTGCGCGACATAAAGTGTGTCCGGTGGCGGAGTGTAGTTGCATTTGTGATCGATGATACCTATTACTAGTTGGTTGGAAGTTTCGGGTGGAATGTTTTATACCCATTCGCGATGGTATTAATATATCAATTCTGGTCATACATAAGTAGAAAATAATGGTTTCGTCTACATTACTCAGAACCTAGTATCATCCAGAGAAATCAATATAGATAAGAGAAAGGAAGATTGTGGGCCTCCCGCCGATGACATCAAAAAGTTCCGCGCGCGAAAAGTCCACCCCTCATCTTCCTCCACACACACACCTCCTCCTCCACCAAACCACCAAACCACCAAACCACACAACACACCTACACAACCAATCAGCCCCATCATGCCCCCCAAACCGCGGCCCCCTCCCAGCCGCGCCGTCACGGTCTCCAAAGCCCTCAGTTTACTCCTCCGCCATGCGGCCGAAAAAGAAGGTCTGAGGATGGATGCCCAGGGCTACGCGAATGTTGCGGACGTGGTATGCCCCCCCCTACCCCCACCCCCGTACCTCCATCATATCTCAAATAAAAGAACCCCTGACTAAGAACAAGTGAATGGGGTATACAGCTCGCATGGCGAAAACTCAAATCGTTAAAAGTCACCTTTCCCGAGGTTGTCGAGGCGGTTGCGAATTCGGATAAGAAGCGGTTTGCGTTGTTGTATATTCCGTCTACGAGTACAGATACAGCTATGGCTGGTGGATCGACGGGCATAGGAATGAAGGAGAAGGAGGAGGAAACGACAGAGTCAACGGAATCGAAAGAAGAAGCTACGGCAGCTGCTTTGGCAGCGAGTACTACCGACCAAACCCCAACACACTATCTCATTCGCGCAACGCAAGGACATAGTATTAAGAGTGTCGAGGCTGCGCATTTACTCGAAAAGCTTACTCTGGAGGAGAAAGATAAGTTACCGGGGACAGTCGTGCACGGGACATTCCACTCCGCGTGGCCGGCTATTGTGGCATCCGGGGGCTTGCGCTGTATGGGACGGAATCAGGTACATTTTGCGACGGGGCCGACGGTGGAGGAGGTGCTTGGGCAGGTGGGACAGACTGCAGCAGGGGATAAAGGGAAGGTGATTTCGGGGATGCGACGCGATGCGCAGGTGTTGATATATGTGGATGTGGAGAGGGCGTTGGCGGCGGGGTGTCCGTTTTGGAGGAGTGAGAATGGGGTGATTCTGAGTGAGGGGATGAGTGTGACTGGTGGTGATGGTGATGAGAAGATGGTCCCGTTGGAGTTGGTGGATGTGGTGGTGGAGCGCAAGATGGGGAAAATCTGGGAACGTGGCCAGGTGGTGCAGCAGTGGCCGTCGGAATGGGCGCAGAGTAGGAATCCCAAGGGGCGGGGGTCCGACGGGAAGCGTCGATAGCATTATTGACTTTAGTATCTAGCTGGTAAATATGCAATGGATGGTCAGGCAATGTGGGGGGGGGATGGATGCCTTCCGACGCCGTGCGGGGAAGTCGGATGCCATCCGACCAGCACCAATCAGGATGGTCGGCTTTCCGATACAGCGAATCCGGGGCATCCATTAACAATCGAACTATATATTACCCCCTCCATATCTCCTCAGTCTCTATCTACCTCTCCATCTCATTCCCCCCCCCCCCCCCCTACTTACATCCAAGTGAAGAACAAAATATAAGGAATCGCCAAAATGTCCCGCTTCGACCCCCACTTCACCGACAAGGTCATCGCCAGCATGGGGCCCAAAACGACCCCGCGCTTCCGGCAACTGATGACCGGTCTGATCCGACACGTCCACGACTTTGCGCGCGAGAACGAACTCACCGTGGATGAATGGATGGCCGGCGTGAAGCTCCTCAACTGGGCCGGTCAAATGAGCGACGATAAGCGCAACGAGGGACAACTCGTTTGCGATGTGATTGGACTTGAATCGTACCCCTATCC